ATTCGTGTTTCTACCGTGAAGCAGTTGTGTTTGCATGGCTGTGTTTCGGTTTGAACGGTGGGATATGGCGTGAATTTACAGGGTACAGAGGAATAACACCCGAGTCCTCAGGAATGGCAACGCATGGGGGGTATCATGGGCGAAACAGTATACTCTGTTATGTCCATGGTACTGCTCATGTCTATAGGCGACGGTTACCACTTTCCATCAGGTGGGCTGTCAGCTTGTTTGCCAATCTAAGTAGTATTAAAAAAAGAATCCTTCAAACCGGATAGCAACATCAATCATTTATTTGCATCACCTATAAGCTTATTTAAAGCTATTTGCAAACATTAGTGTAATGATTGGTATTCTTTTTTAGATCACTTGTACTTATTTTCCGTTTAAACGGCTGAACGGATTTGAATGAAATTTTGTACACAGGTAGATTATATACTAATTTAACACAACATATACTTTATATATTGATTTTTCGCCGTGTGTGTCCCGGCATATAATGAGCCACCCATTCCTTTCCTGTGGGTGTCATAAGAGGCGACTAAGGGAGGGCGAGAGATGGGCAGCAGCGTCTCTTTTAAAACATCTCTAAAAGTCTAACTGCGGTTTCCAACCCGCCTATCAAGCGTGGCAACTACTGGCTAAACTCTGCTTATGGGGGGGGGGGGGGGGGGGAAGGGATTGTTAGTAATGGAGATTGTGAATCTCATTGCTAGCAATATACCCAACCAGGTCGACCTCCTCGCGGTTCTCCCTGGAAACTATCATGGTTAATTCCCGATGAATTCATCATGATGGGCTAACTGGCCTGTTTTCATTCTCATCTATCACCCTTCACTGGTGCTCCGCCAGCGTATCCCGTTAGCGCAGGTGATGTTACCATACCATTTTCATCCATCAAAAAAAAAACTTTGCTTATGGGAAAGTCTTATGTCCAACAGTGGACAATAAACGGCTGTAATACCTACCTAATCGCAGGATATAGTCAACAGAATAGAAAATTTATTTTTTTATATATTTATTTTCAAATGCACAGAGACATTGAATTTCAGTCCATACTCACATTTTACTACTAGTATTTTCACTCTCTCCTCAGCTCCGTCGTCATTCTTAAAGACAGCGAAGTAGCTGCCAAAGTCTCGTACTCTCAGATTTTCTAATCCTATTTCAATGTAAAATTTCCTGAAAAAAATAAAAAAATATTTAAATATATATAAAATATATATAAAATATTTAAATATTTAAAACTTTTCCTGAAAAAAAAAATAAACTTATTTAAACATGGCAACTTTTTTAAATTAACTTGTTTTGATTACTGTTTTGCGGGCGTCCGTAGGCTACAGTAACCATTTACCATCAGGTGGGCCGTATGCCTATTCGCGTATACATTCATTTCAGCCAATATCCGTCCATTGCTGGACATTAGCTTCCCCCATAGACCGCCATAAAGAACGGTCCTGAGCCACCTGCATCCCTGCATCTCAGTTGGGGGGGGGGGGGGCACTTTATTTTTTAAAGAGCAAACGAGAAGGAAAAATACCGGGTAAAAGAGGTAGTGAAGGACCGATGAATAACTACTTGGGACAGACAATGGAAACACTAGGTGTCATATCGTACAGGAAGGTGCAGATTTGTACCGTGACCACAACAAGAAGCAACTCCGATTGACTGTGACTTATGGGCCAGATGGCACTGAAAATGTCTCCACACTGTCACTCCTAGAATGGCAATATTTACCGAAACTTCTCGGGTGGTCAAAATTATTACAAATAAAAGGCAGAATTAGAAAGATCTAGCAGAAAAGTAGTGTTATTGCTTTTGTCACCTCTTTAGATTTTTTTTTTATGGGTAATAATGGAATGGTAATGGGGCACCAGTGAAGGATGATAGATGAGGATGAAGCAGATCAGTTAGCCCATTTAGATGAATTCAATAAGAATTGTTCACGATGGTTTCCAGGGGGAACCCACATGGAGGTCGACCTGATATGCTATATTGCTGGCAATGGGGCTGTCTAACTCCATTGCTAACAATGTTATTTCCTTTCACCACCTCTTTAGATTAGTGCTCTGAACCGAGGCGCGCTACGTTGGCGGCAGACCTCTTTTAATATAAGTTTACCTTTTTAGATTTTATAGGGAGGTCAAAAATATGGCTTGGAACAGAGCTGGCTGGAAAAAATTGCATGAATTAGCTGCACCGACAAGAGGAAACTCTAAAATCAAAAGAGAAAGAGAATAATTACCTATCCACCGTTTTCCTAAGCCTGTATCTGGATCTGTCTAAATTGTAGACGTTCCAGTCTGTCGCTCTGATCACAATCTGAAGCAAGTGGCATCTGCTGCACTGGTAATGTATGGTAGTGCTCTCAACTTGTTGGCCTGGCATGCCTTCGATTGACTTTTCATCCACAAGTATTGTACAATTAGCTAGAAGAAAAAAAAAACAAAAATTCTGTTCTGAAGAACTCTTCAATATTGTACCTACAGACACCTTTCACCATCGTACCGCTCGCCATCGACAGGGAATCCATTCTCATACCTTAGAACTAGAATGGTCACGCACAGTTATGTGGCACTTTCTTCCACGCACAACCATTCTTTGGAATCAACTTCCAGCAGCAGTATTTCCGAACCGATACGACAACGTAACCTTCAAGAGAAGAGCATATTCCTTTTTAAAAGGCCGGCAGCACACCTGCAATGCCGCTGGTGTTGTGGGTGATCATGGGCGGCGGTAGTCACTTACCATCAGGTGAGCCGCATGCTCGTTTGCCCCCTGTGTTGTAAAAAAAAAAAAAGCTATATGTACGTTACTTTATAGTAAATTAAAACTCCCTCAGTTTAAAAAGTTGATGTAATTTTTCAAGCTTTTTACTCAAGGCTTAGGTCCAGCAGGGGGCAGTTAACGGCTGAAATAATAATAATAATATAAAAAAATGTTATACTTACTGATAGTTAAGAACGGCACAAGCTTATAGTGCGTCTTTCCATCCACTATCTTTTCGAATCTCACGTGGTATGTGCTGAGCACGGACCACGAGACGGTAGACGATCTTATATCGACTTCCACATAGTTTCCATCAGCTGATGTTTGTACGTTGAAGTCGGAATTCACCTGGATATATTTATTTATTTATACTTTATTGTACATGCTAGTAATACATAAAAATATGATACAGCTAATTAACTGTACAAAGGCGAGCTTGAGTCTAAAAGAGTTCTCTTCCAACAACACCCAAAGTGGAAAGAAGCATCTATATCAGCGGGTAGAGCGGTGTACAATATTAAAACAGTTTTAAACAGAATTAAACAAACTCAAGTTTATACGTAACTAATAATATCAAATTTAGGGGGGAAAGGGATTGTTAGTAATGGAGACTGACAATCCCATTGCTAGCAATATACCCAATCAGGTCGACCTCCTCGCGGTTTCCCCTGGACACTATCATGGTTAATTCCTGATGAATTCATCATGATGGGCTAACTGGCCTGTTTTCATTCTCATCTATCACCCTTCACTGGTGCTCCGCCAGCGTATCCCGTTAGCGCAGGCGGGGTTACCATACCATTTTCACCCATCAGAAAAAAAACCTCCGTACGCCCCCTGAAGAATAAACAATTGTCGGAAAAGACAAAAATAGTAACTTCATTAATTTCCCGTTACATATGTATATATGGGCATCACAATACAAAATCCACGGTGTTGTTCAGGTCTATTGGCAACAGTTATCACTTTCCATCGGATGGACCGTCAGTTTGTTTGCCAATCTATGTTGTTAAAAAATATGGTTTACCTTATGTGAAGAGTTATGGGTCTTTGTCGTCGGAACAGGGGAGTCACTCTTCCAGATCGTCTTGTAATGGTAACCCTCGGGTATTTTCACTCTTCTGGGGCTGTGTTTGTATTTAGGTTTCATGGGGTTCATGCATTCCACGATAGAGTCGTCTGAAAGAATAGAGCGATTAAAGAGGTAGTGATTACAAGGACCGGCTTTAATTTACAGGACAGTTTTGGGCATGTTTTTACGTCTTCTCGGTATTTGTTGACGACGGTAAAAGATTCACAACTTTTTAATTTCATAATCGGTAAATTTTGCAAGACTCAAAGTATTTTCTCTAATGATAAAAGAGAAATTTAATTGGCATCCGCACTGTTCAGTGTTCAAAGTCGAGTTTGATTCTTTACTATTCCCGTGGTAGTTATATTTCGAATTGGATCCCCCGAGCGTTACTCGACTACTTCCTACCTATCTCCTAAGTTCGATACTAGAGATGAGAGCCTCTGGTTTTTTTGAGTTCCCAAAAAAACTTCGTACTCTTGTTTTTATACAAAAAAGCATTTTTCAAAGGTGAATCGTTTCATTTCATCCAAGTAGATAGATAGATAAACATTTTAATCGAGTTTACACATGTAAATTTACATTCAAATTCATACAATGAGATAAGTTACGTAATTATAAAAATAAAACATTAAAGGTAGAATACAAAAATATGTTTTCGCCACGTGTGTCGTAGTGACCCAAATGGCTGAAAATCGCTTTTAAAAAAGCTTAAGATTTTCAGTTGCATCCTAACGTTATATACTAAATAACTACAAATGCGTCCGTACATCCAGATGCAACGTTATCCTAACTGTATCTTTGCCATTAGCTTATTTAAACACTTGGTATCAGCCGGCTATTCAAAGTTTGCGCTCACTACCGACCTCTATACTACCCCTTTTGAAAAACCCCATACTGTAGTCTCTTGGGAAACCTTGGCAAAACTACCTGCCTATTTATTCTCTGCTCTTTATTTTAGGGTAGACATTAGACAACTCTGATTTAGGGTGAGCACGGCACACTCGGGCTTTCTTCTAAATTCGCCCACTGGCCTTGTTCCTCTATACACATTTTGGCGTTAAAAATAGGCACAGTACTTTTGGAGAAGTGTGTCTTTATAGAAATAATTATGTGGAGAAGGAAACCATTATTTATTGATTACAAAACAATCAAATATTAACTAGATGTTCTTACCAGGCAATGCTGTAAGAAAATTGATGATAAATATGAATTCTCGAAATGCATTGAAGCAGTTGTGTTTGCATGACTGTGTTTCGGTTTGAAGGGTGGGATATGGCGTGAATTTACTGGGTACAGAGGAATAACACCTGAGTCCTCAGGAATGGCACCGCATGGGGGGTATCATGGGCGAAACAGTATACTCTGTTATGTCCATGGTACTGCACATGACTATCAAACAAACTGACGGTCCTCCCGATGGATACAGCGATAGTCGTTGATTCAGCGTAGGTACGGCCAATTTTGATTGTCTACAATCAGTAGCCTGTATCCATCTTTGGTTTTGTATGTCAGCGGATCTTTGACGAAGCCATATTCGAAGTTGCGAGAACGGAAGAGGAAGAAGTGGATACGGGCCTACCACCCTCGTTCCTGAGCCTCTTCTAGCCAGTTCGTCTGCGGCATCGTTACCATAAGATCCACTGTGCCCTCTTATCCACTGGAGGACAACTCGGTTATTGGAAGATATCCTATCCAGGTCCACCACTATTACTACCAGAAGTTCCACAACCTTCCATTATAGACATCAATCTCCTACTGCCATTATGCTAATGATCGACTGATGAGATTAATGGTTGTTTAACTTCTCCATCCACCACGTCATATGTTAATATACTGTATTAAAATATAGTAGTAAAAATATATATATATATATAAATGAAACTTACGCGCAACAATTTCTGTAATAAATATTATATTAATTAATATAATTATATTTAGTATTAACTATATGCAGGTAAAATTACCAGAGGCAGACTTTGTACAAAAGTCGATAGCTTGGGTACCTCTGTCCCATTCGTGTATCAACCGTGAAGCAGTTGTGTTTGCATGGCTGTGTTACGGTTTGAAGGGTGGGATATGGCAGTGAATTTACAGGGTACAGAGGAATAACACCTGAGTCCTCAGGAATGGCAACGCATGGGTGGTATCATGGGCGAAACAGTATACTCTGTCATGTCCATGGTACTGCTCGTGACTATCAAGCAAACTGACTGTTCAGTTGTTGGAAATTGGTAACAGTCTATAGAAAACTTTAAATTTTCATCGTTTTACGATCAACCCCTGTATTTTAATTGCGATTTTTATATCTCGCAATAAGTGGTAAAACAACGTTTACGGGGTCAGCTAGTAACAATACGTATTTGTATAAAATATAATCATATTGTCTAACTATAAAAAAAAAAAAACAACTTTTTAATTATTATAAAAATAGAACTGACGGAATTATGAGGTAACAAACTTAAAAAAAAAATACAACCATATTGAGAACGACCTTCTGTTTGTAGTGAGTTAAAAATGAGACAAATATTTAAACGTACCGTCATCTGTAAAAAAAAAAAACATTGTATGTACATTGAAATCAAATTATTTAAGAGATACAATTTGACACTTGATAATGTTCCAGACAAATTATCATATTGAAGACTAGGCAGCATGGTCACCGACCTTGGCCTGTTCCAGAATGGAACAAACGTACTAGAAAAAAAAATTTAAATGAACACATAGGTTTTTAGTATTTATTCTATTGAGACTTCGTTCACGTGACTGTACACACGTTTCCTGAACAAGATAAAATAAAGCTTGTAAACCTCTCCATTTCAAACAATACATATGTTGATATAATAATCACCGTTGTGCAGCGAAAAATCACTAACATTTATGGCGAATCCTTCTTTTTTTGCCCAATAAATACAATAATCTGCCCTGTTTTAAACAATATAAGCATTTTTTTTTTCAATTTTTGAAATTACAGAATGTTACTAAGTAGGTACTTGGGTACGGTGGTTACGGAGATAAGTGGGTACAGAGGAATAACACCCGAGTCCTCAGGAATGGCAACGCATAGGGGGTATCATGGGCGAAACAGTATACTCTGTTATGTCCATGGTACTGCTCATGTCTATAGGCGACGATTACCACTTTCCATCAGGTGGGCGGTCAGCTTGTTTGCCATTCTAAGTTGTATAAAAAAAAGCCACTACAACCTAACTGCGGTTGTCAACCCGTCTGCAAAGAGTAGCAACTATTTGCGGAACCCTCTACAAGGAAGGTGTACATACAGTAGTGATCACTTAACGCCTGATACGATGATGATGATGATGATGATGATAAACATAACAATTAAATTTTTATTTTTAAAATAACATACAATTCACATGAAAAGGTTTTGCTGGAAGAAATCTCTTATTAGAGATAAGCTCGCCTTTGTACATTATGTTTATAATGAATCGTGATTAACAGTATGTTTTGTGTACAATAAAGAAATAATAAAAAACAAAATTATTTTGACAAACTTACTTTCGTATTCTGTAAATAATACATTAAAATTATTATATATATATATATATATATATATATATATATATATATATATATATATATATATATATATATATATATATATATATATATATATATTGTAATCTTATTTTTATACTTAGAATATTTTGCATTTTGTTTGATTCTTTTTATGTATTTACCGTGTCTGAGTTGCGCCATCTACCTATCTCTCTGTACTTATCCATTATCGATTGCTTGGGTACCTCTGTCCCATTCGTGTTTCTACCGTGAAGCAATTGTGTTTGCATGGCTGTGTTTCGATTTGAAGGGTGGGATATGGCGTGTATTTACTGGGTACAGAGGAATAACACCTGAGTCCTCAGGAATGGCAACGCATGGGGGGTATCATGGGCGAAACAGTATACTCTGTTATTACCACGGTACTGTTCATGTCTATAGGCGACCGTTAACACTTACGATCAGGTGGGCCGTCAGCTTGTTTGCCATTCTAAATTGTATAAAAAAAAATTCTTTATGCCAGGTTTGTCTGTAAGAGATTGCTTTTAGCGATAAGGCCGACTTTTGTATATGCACATTCTATATAAATACTCCTTGTATACATCTCTACTGTGCGCAATAAAGAGTTTATTATTATTATTAAAATTACGTCACTATTACTTTATTAATAACAGTCATTCACCAGAGGGAGACTTTGTACAAAAGTCGTTTGCTTGGCCACCTCTGTCCCATTCGTGTTTCTACCGTGAAGCAGTTGTGTTTGCATGGCTGTGTTTCGATTTGAAGGGTGGGATATGGCAGTGAATTTACAGGGTACAGAGGACTAACACCTGAGTCCGCAGGAATGGCAACGCATGGGGGGTATCATGGGCGAAACAGTATACGAGTATATACAGACGCAAGCAGACGTAATATCTCTACAATAAAATTACAGTAAAAAGTCTTACCACTTGGACCTGTAACAAATAAAGTAATTAAATATATATATTTTATTGTTAGAGAGGCAAACATCGTTTTGCAAGTGTTCATAGGTGACGGTAGACGCTTTCCATCAGGTGGGCCGTCAGCTTGTTTGCCATTCTAAGTTGTATAAAAAACTAAATAATATAAAACAACGCAAGGGTATTATTACAAACCGGTTTTCTTTTAGACGTAATATAAAAAAAAGAAGATATAAAATACCTACTTTCAACTGAAATAATAAAATAAAAATTATTCGTATTTGAAGATTTAGGTATTAATCGCAGTTAAACATCAATTTATTTAAAAAAAAAATAAATAAATAAATATGCTCGCTACAGCAATCCCTAACGGGGTGGTCAGCGCCATCTGTCGCCTGTTACCGTTGTGGTGAACCTAACACTAGGCATGCCCATATCTCGCCGAGAGTTCTTTTTTAATGGATGACAATGGAGTGGTTACCCCGCCTGCCCTAACGGTATATGCTGGCGGGGCACTAGTGAAGGATTATAGGTGAGGATGAAGTAGATCAGTTAGCCCATCATGATGAAATTCAGCACGATGGTTTGCCAGCCATGGAACTGGTAGCCCGCATTACTAACAATCCTTTCCCCCCCGCTGAGTTGTTTTTTTGGTGGGTGAAAATGGTATGGTAACCCCTGCGCTAACGGGATACGCTGGTGGAGCACCAGTGAAGGGTGATAGATGAGAATGAAAACAGGCCAGTTAGCCCATCATGATGAATTCATCAGGAGTTAACCATGATAGTCGCTGAGAGTATTAGGATACAACGTGGCACGACGCGAGCCTACCGCCATCTAACGGTGTCTTTCGTCGGAGAGAGAAGAGATTGTAGGTAATGAGGATTAGTACTCCCATTGCTAGCAATATACCCTGACAGGTCGACCTCCTCGTGGTTCCCTCTGGAAACCACCATCATACAAATCAAACATCGATCAATCGATTGAACGTTACGATTTATCACTAATAACATTCAGAGAGTGCTCCAGTCATAATTAGAACAAAACGTAGTTAGCTTTATCATTCAGTTATATTGGGATAAATAATATATAATAAAAAAAAAAAAATTGGGATTTTGGTCTTACCATAGTCACCTGTAAATTAAATATCATATGATGATTTTTTTTTTATACACATTGGTGATTGGTCACTAAATAAATTTCAACATGAAATACTAGATGGCGTTAGAATCGAGACTTGTGGCCTTTGTTGATTATTTTCTAATTAAACATAATTTGAAGCAAAATTTCTAAATTGCTGAGTTGGTTTATTTATTATTTACCAATATAACAACAATGTATCATCATGGATGTATCATCAATCAATCGAGGAATGAGCGGCAGCGTTCCTCTTCAAACATCACCTAAGATTAACTGCGGCTATCAAACCGCCTGCCAAGCGTGGCAACTACTGTCAAAATACCCCAAGGGTAAACCTATCTTCAGCAGTGGACAGTTAACGTCTGATACGATGATGAGGTCGTTTTAAATTTAAATTTTAGATAGATAGATACCGTGAAGCAGTTGTGTTTGCATGGCTGTGTTTCGGTTTGAAGAGTGAAGGGTGAATTTACTAGGTACAGAGGAATAACACCTGAGTCCTCAACAATGGCAACGCACGGGGGTTATCATGGGTGAAACAGTATACTCTGTTATGTACATGGTACTGCTCATGTCTATAGACAACGGTTACCACTTTCCATCAATTTTTGTTTGCCATTCTAAGTTGTATAAAAAAAAGATAGATCTAGGGGAATGGTGGTCCGAAATCGGCCCAGTTGTCTGTAATATTTTACTACTTGAGGAGTACTTACGCCATAATTCGTTGGCCACTGTGGCCTGGTCTGGTGATGGTAGACTGTAGATGTACCCGATCTGACAAGGATTCCAGTGGTCACACACCTCATGATCTGGATCCAGTTCCGTCACATATTTATATGTCTGGAAAACAAGCAAGACACATTTTGAATATATTTGTAATGCCACTTCACGCCACGAGATGTCGCTACTAGTCAGCCAAGTCCCCCTGCCCACTGCCATACGCCAATCCATACCAGGTGGGACGCTAAAGCCAAGTTCAGTGAAATGTCAATTATGTAGCCAGTTTATAATGAGACGATGCTTTGTTTAATACAAAAATGCTATCACCATAACTGCTGTGGGATCCATTCTGTTATGTTCTAAAGAACGTAGCATATAGCCGTGTGACACCATTTTAGTGCTTATTTTTTATGCAACTTAGAATGGCAAATAAGCTGACGGCCCACCTGATGGAAAGTGGTAACCGTCGCCTATAGACATGAGCAGTACCATGGACATAACAGAGTATACTGTTTCGCCAATGATACCTCCCATGCGTTGCCATTCCTGAGGATTCAGGTGTTATTCCTCTGTACCCTGTAAATTCACTGCCATATCCCACCCTTCAAATCGAAACACAGCCATGCAAACACAACTGCTTTACGGTAGAAACACGAATGGGATAGAGGTGCGTTTTTTTTGTTAATTGTTATTTTTTGTTATTATGTGTGAAATTAAGCATTAAATAAATATTTCTTTCTTTCTATTTATTATTTTTGTAAATAGTACAAGAAAGTATAAAATAAATAAATAAAATAGGGTTGGTAACGCGCACGTGACATCCCTGGTGGTACAGGCGTCCACAAGCTACAGTAACTCCGTTTACTATCAGACAGGCTGTATGCTTGTTTGCCACCATAGTAGTATAAAAAAAAAAGTACTTACCCTGTCTGGATAGTAGCGGTAATGAACGACCACATCGTCAGTCTCTTCCAGAGCACATTTGCTGGTAGTGTAGTTCAGAGATGTTCTTTCCACCGGGGCGCATCCGATCACTGTGCTTCCGTTACGGGGCAGATCTGGACCTTCCACTTTGTGACCTGAAAACAACGAGCCGGAGGTAATTCATAGTCAAACAGAGTTCCAAAGGTCATATTTAAAAATTATTAAAGTCATCCAAAGCTCAAAGGTCATACAAGTCAGACAGACTTGTATGACCTTTGATGTTTTTTATATGTTATATGAGTTAGATCAAATTCAAAGACAAAAATAATCAAATTCAAAGACAAATATCAAATTAATCAAATTTCAAAAGGACAAAATCAAAATTGCTGAAAACTTTAACGGGGGTCATTCAAGTCATTATGGGTCTATAAGGTCATTCCCGTCATGTCAATCACGATTAATAGGTCATAATTAAAGAGCATTTAAGTCAGTCAAAATTCGAAAGTAAAATTTATAGAACACGCAAGTCAAAGTTCTGCCACAATCAAAGGTCATTCAAGTTGTGAGCTTTCGTCCCAAAATGACGACGGTAGCGATAAAGATTCTATCGATAGAAACGTTTATATTGGAAAATAATCTTAAATACGTCAATGAAGGGGGAAAGGGATTGTTAGTAATGGAGATTGAGAATCCCATTGCTAGCAATATACCCAACCAGGTCACCTCCTCGCGGCTCTCCCTGGAAACTGTCATAGTTAATTCCTGATGAATTCATCATGACGGGCTAACTGGCCTGTTTTCATTCTCATCTATCACCCTTCACTGGTGCTCCGCCAGCGTATACCGTTAGCGCAGGCGGGGTTACTATACTATTTTCACACATAAAAAAAAAATACCTCAATGATACTTACGGTTACAAAAGAAGTACTTATTCTCGGCCACATAAAGTTCCTTATCCTCTGCACTGAGGCAGGAGTCGTACATGACAGGCGTGGGTTCGATGTCTCCCTCGCACATTATCACGCCGGATCCGTCCGGCTCTTTCGGAGCCCGATTGGACGGACATCGGAACATTAAACCTGAATAAATATTATTTATATATTTATTTATACTTTATTGTGCACGCTAACAGTACACACTGATGGAGGGGAAGGGATTATTAGTAACGGGGAGGTTAGTCCCCATCAGGTCGACCTCCACGCGATTCCCCCTGGAAACAATTGTGAGTAATTTATCGTTGAATTCGTCACGATGGTTTAACTGACCTGCCTTTTCCTTCTCACCTATCATCTTTCACTGGTGCCCCGCGAGTGTATACCGATAGCGCGGGCGGGGTACCATCCCATTGTTATCCATTAAAAAAAAGTATATACTGATCGGGCGGGGGATTGTTAGTAACGTGGACTACCAGTCTTATTGCTAGCAATATATCCTGTCAGGTCGACCCCCACGAAATCCCCCTGGAAACTATCGTGCTGAATTCCAGGTATATTCATCGCGATGACCTTACTGACCTGCCTTTTCAGGGGGAAAGGGATTGTTAGTAATGGGGATTAGTAGTCCCATTGCTAGCAATATACCCTGTCAGGTCGATCTCCTCGTGTTGCCCCCTGGAAACCATCGCGATTGATTTACTGTTAGATTCATCACGGTGGGCTAACTGACCTGAACTTTCATCCTCACCTATCATCCCTCACTGGTCCCCGTTAGCGTATACTGTTACTGATACACAGCAGGAGAAAAAAAATGTACAAAGGTGAGTTTAATCTGTCGATTTTGAAAAACAATTGAACATTTTTCAATGTTTCTGGCGGAATATTAAAAAGGTGCTCAGGTTATGGAATAAGCTCCCTGTCGAGGTGTTCCCAACCTCAACAGACAGCTTTTTTTTTTATACCACTGAGGTGGCAAACAAGCATACGGCCCGCGTGGCGGGTAAGTGGTTACCGTAGCCTATGAACACCTGCAATACTAAAGGTATTACGCGTGCGTTGCCGACCCTGAAGAAACTTCTTTACCCCCCGTTTGAAGAACCCCATGCTGTCTTGGGAAAACCTCGGCAGGGAGCTCATTTCACAACCTGAGTGTTCGTGGGAGAAAACATTTCTGAAACCGCGCAGTACGCGACCATTGAGGCTGTAGGACATGAGGGTGAACTCCCTGTCGGTGACGAGCCGTACGATGGTAGAAAGTGGCTGTGGGCATCATATTGAACAATTCCTCTGAGCACAATCCGTTGTACAAGCGGTAGAACACGCAGAGTGAGGCAAAATCTCTCCTAAGACTTAAGGATTCGATACCGCTTGTAAGCCTGGGATCGTCGACAATTCTAAAGGCTCGTCGTTGCACTGTTCTTTTTGAAAATTCGCAGTTAATTACGACGTTGCGTTTGCATTGCTCTTTATGCACTGTCTAAATCGGTGTTTACTTTTTATGGAGCAAAATCTTTTAAAAAGCTTACCCTTCTTGATAATTAAAGGCGGTTTATTCCTGATCTCGGCGATGGTCACCCCCTTCTCTCCGTTTTGGATAGCAGTCATGATCCTTTTGTACAACGTTGTTCTTCTCTCTTGCTCCGCTATGATATAAGGCAGTAATTCGTCTGATAGAACATCCACCTTCTTCTTGGCTTCGGCGTTCATCTGAATATCGATTCATCATATGTTTCTACCGTGAAGCAATTGTGTTTGCGTGGCTGTTTTGGTTTAAAGGGTGGGATATAGCGTGAATTTACTGGGTACAGAGGAATAACACCTGAGTCCTCAGAAATGGCAACGCATGGGGGGTAATCATGGGCGAAACAGTATACTCAGTTATGCCCATGGTACTGCCCATGTCTATAGGCGACGGTTACCAGTTTCTACACGTGGGCCGTCATAGCCATGCAAGCAACGACTTCACGGTAGAAACACGAATGAGACAGAGGTGGCCAAGCAATCGACTTTTGTACAGTCTCGCTCTGGTATGCATGATATTTTAGTTTGAAAGTCGATTTCAACTCACCCGATCTGCGTCTTTGTTAAACTTGATTCCTGTGCCGTCCTGTAAAGAAAAAAACATAAATTTGAAATATATCTCATCATCATCATAGCAGCATATAGGCCTCCCCCATAGACTACCATAAATAACAATCCTTAGCGAAAGAACTAGGTGCCATTTCCTTCTAGTATTTGCCATTGGGAGGTTTTACCAGAAGCTGCAACCGCACCGCTGCCTACCTGAATCGCAGCTGGGCTTTGGTCATTTTTAAATGTAATACTGTTGCTTATCCCTTAATCATTAAATTATACATTAAGAAATACCAAGAATACTTACCTCACAATACTTGTCTAATATATAAAATTCTCACCAACCAAACTCCTTCGAAACGGCTTTACCAATTTTTATGAAATTTTGTGTGCATATCGGGTAGGTCTGAAAATCGACCAACATCTATTTTTCATACCCCTCAATGATAAGGGTGACCCAAAAAAAATATTTTTATTTTTTTGACAAATTTTTCCATTTTTATTTTATTATGATTTAGCATAGATAAATACATACAAATTCAAATTTTCACGCTTTTACGATAAATTTTCATGTATAATTCTCAAAATAGCGTATATGGTAAAACAACGTTTGCCGAGTCAGCTAGTATAAAAATATAAATCTAAAAAGGTAAATGTATAAATTTACCTGTTTAGATTTATATTTTTAATTTATATTTAATATATATTATATTTAATAAATTAAAAGAGGTCTGTCGCCAACATTATGTACTCCTAGACGTGTTTTTGCAAAGCATTACACGGATCCTACAGTGAGCATTAGACAGTTCTTCTATGGCTCAGATCACCCGGCTCTCCCGTTAAATATACCTACGTACAGAAGTTGCGAAAATGAAAGGTCCAAGGCGCTAAGGTCCAAGAATATGGGCACAAGAGTCACGCATTAGCAATGGGTCGCACTAAATTCAGCGGTCCTTTTTATCGTCGTAAAGAGGGGAGAGGGATTTTTTTTTATCTTTTTTATTTAGAGGCTTATTTATATATTTAAAGGATATGTCAGCCTAATCATAACCTAATTTTATAAAATACCTCACATACTTAGGGGAGAGGGGAATTTTTTAACTGAACTCACCACAGCCTGCCTTCTCACGATGTTAGCGAGGTACCGCCCTCGCCTGGTGGCCGGTAACAGCACGCTGCCAGCCATTACTTCGTCGCCGATCTGAGAGTATACAATTTTTAATAAATGAATGAATGATAACTTTTCTTTTTTATACAACTTAGAATGGCAAACAAGCTGACGGTCCACCTGATGGTAAGTGGTAACCGTCGCCTATAGACATGAGCAGTACCATGGACGTAACAGAGTATACTGTTTCGCCCATGATACCCCCCACGCGTTGCCATTCCTGAGGACTTAGGTGTTATTCCTCTGTGCTTTGTCTGCATTACTAACAATCCCTTCCCCCTCGTTTGTATATATTAGTATCTATATAATAGTGCACTTTTTACCCTTTTTTTTTCCTCAAGTCCTCTACTCAAAGGTCGTCTCGAAGAGGTTGCTTAGCGTTAAGGCCACCTTTTGTATCAATTACATTAAAAATTAACTGTATTTACTATTTTATAAATGATGTAAAATAAATAAATAAATATGTAGAAATGAAGTATTAAGTATGTATGTAAGTATGTAGTAGTTAAGTAGGTAGGTGTTATATTCATTTATAGTGTATGTATTTATGTAATATTTTATTATATATTTTAATATTTTATTTAACTGTATATTTGTTTATGTATTAATAGTTGTAGCGCTTCAGCTGCCCGCTAACGATATGCTTTCTCACTGTATCGGGTTGACTGGAAGAGATCTCTGTCAAAGATAAGTACACCCTTGCTCACAACATTTATAAATGCATTAACAATGTAATTTACAAGTGCAATAAAGAATATATATAGAAATAGATTCAGAGAAATGATAGTTTAGAATCGACCCCAAGATATAGTTTTTTTTTTTTTTTTTTGGGTGAAAATGGTATGGTAACCCCGCCTGCGCTAACGGGATACGCTGGCGGAGTACCAGTGAGGGGTGATAGATGAGAATGAAAACAGGTCAGTTAGCCCAACATGATGAATTCATAAGGAATTAACCATGATAGTTTCCAGGGGGAACCGCTAGGAGGTCGACCTGGTTGGGTATATTGCTAGCAATGGGATTCGCAGTCTCCATTACTAACAATCCCTCCCCCCCCCCGCCCCAAGATATAGTTGAAATTTTATTTAAAAAAAAAATTACCGGTGGATACCCGCATTTCACAAATAGTAAAACATTAAAAAATAAAACTAAACACACCACACGACGCATCTTTATAAAATGTTACGAAACAAAACTGCAGCCACTAATTGTATTTGCCATAAAAATAAATTGGAGACCAATTACGTTAACAAAGCAAGTTTTAATAGTGTTTTTAATAGCTCAGTATAGTAGTTTTACCAGAGAGAGACTTTGTACAAAAGTCGATTGCTTGGGTACCTCTGTCCCATTCGTGTTTCAACCGTGAAGCAGTTGTGTTTGCATGGCTGTGTTTCGGCGTGAATTTACAGGGTGCAGAGGAATAACACCTGAGTCCTCAGGAATGGCAACGCATGGGGGGGTATCATGGGCGAAACAGTATACTCTGTTATGTCCGTGGTACTGCTCATGTCTATAGGCGACGGTTACCACTTACCATCAGGTGGGCCGTCAGCTTGTTTGCCATTCTGAGTTGTATAAAAAAAAATAGAGTGTACCTTATATTTTATTCGCATACGGGGTCAGCTAAGCCTTTGTACGTCGACCCATTGGGATCTTTTGTGCTTCCCCCTGCCTTATACCATCATTCCATAGAACCTATATGATATTTGCTTAAATTATATAGACCTAAGCAGCGATCCTGAAAAGCGGCACAACTGTTTGTCAGCTAATTGTCAAATTAGCTGACTCCTTTTTTTAGACCTTGACGTATTAAGCATTTAACAAATAAAATGAGTGTTTACTCATTAAAAAGACGCAGATATCGTAAAAAAAAAATACAAAAGGAAACACTCATATCTATTTATTACTCAAAATTGTATGAAAAAGTTGAGCTTTGTCAGTAATAATCAATTTTTTTTTATACAACTTAGAATTGTTAGAGGAGCAGTTGAATACGTACCTTGTTAGAGGCAGACATACATGGAAATATGACCAGCGTGGAGGTAGTAGTACCAATAATATATCACAATAGATTTAGATAGATAGATAGATAGATAGATAATTTATTTACATTACTTACAGCACACAAATTACAATAAAAAAAAAACATACACATAATACACAGCAAAAGAGATAAAAGAATGAAAATAAAAAAGCACAAATAAAAAAATACAAAAACAAAATATATAAACTAACAATCTCCCTTCTTTCCCTTTCTCCATGCGTGTGCCATAGTAACACAAAATGGTCACAGCTCAGTTTATTGCTTTGCCCTCAAAAGAGCAAAACACTGATATTCTGCTGTGACCAAGAGTCAGTCGCGAAACTCCTCATTGAAAATTTACAATAAAAATTACTCTCTCTTTTATAGTCCAAGTAACTGACAGTTAATTTATAACACAACACACGCTAAATATATAAAACACTGTATCGCGCTATTATATTAAAATATTAAATAAATCATTTGTAAAAACAATTTTAGACAAAAGTGAATTTTAGAACATCATATTTGTTGGTAAGGTTACTAGGCAATAATAGTTCTCTTTTTCTATTTTCAAATTTTACTAAACAGTTTATTAATACCTGGTTTGCACCTTAATAAGAATGGCAAACAAGCTATCGGCCCACCTGATGGAAAGTGGTAACCGTCGCCTATAGACATGAGCATTACCGTGGACATAACAGAGTATACTGTTTCGCCCATGATACCCCCCGTGCGTTGCCATTCCTGAGAACTCAGGTGGTATTCCTCTGTACCCAGTAAATTCACGCCAATATATATAAAAGTATATAAAAGTGCTCCGCTAGCGAGCTGAAACGTTGATCATAGAATAATACGTTAAATATAAATCTATCTAAAAAAAAAAACAATAAGTTTGCGCCACTTCAGAATTTCTCAAATACATTTTTGTATTCAAAATCCTAATTTACAATGACAGCATATTAAGACTATTATTGCGTGACTATAGGCGACGGTTACCACTTTCCGTCAGGTGGGCCGTCAGCTTGTTTGCCATTCTAAGTTGTATAAAAAAATTCGCATATACACTTCGGTAAGCCGACATCACGAGAGCTTTTAATGCTATTGGTCTATCCACCTATTAAAAGGGACATGGCTGCGTAAGGTTTATCATTTTTCATAGCACATATTTCACCAGATATTTCTGATGTACTCCAACCCCACAGGGGGGAGGGGGGAAAGGGGTTGTTAGTAATGGAGACTGAGAATCCCATTGCTAGTAATATACCCAACTAGGTTGACCTCCTCGCGGTTCCCCCTAGAAAATATAGTGACCAATTTATCATTGAATTCGTTACAATGGGCTAACTGACCTGCTTGCATCCTCGTCTACCATCCCTCACTGGTGCCCCGCCAGCGTATACCGATAGTGCAGGAGGAGCTACCATTCCATTATCACCCATTAAGAACTCCAAACCTACAGAGTATCGCGGTCAAGCGAACAAAGTCGTAAGTAAACACTAGTTGTAAAATAAAACAAAGGAATATAAATGAAAACTATTTATTTAGAGAAATGAAAGAACAGGGATTACTAATGAAAGTTACTTAAAATTAATAGACTTCCGTTATCCAGTAAGCTGCATTATTACATAGAATAACGAAGATCTAACAAACATTGGCTTAAACTAAAAAAATGCTTAAACTAACAAACGCTTAAACTAACAAAAGCTTAAACTAACAAACGCTTAAACTAACAAAAGCTTAAACTAACAAACGCTTAAACTAACAAACGCTTAAACTAACAAAAGCTTAAACTAACAAACGCTTAAACTAACAAACGCTTAAACTAACAAAAGCTTAAACTAACAAATGTTTAATCTAACAAGAATTAGAAAAGTTGTATAAATGCTATTATTTAAAAAAAAAAAACGCACAATATATCACAATTATGTTTTCCAGACATTTATATTATATATATATTATTATATTTATTTTATTTGTAATATATATATATATATACATATATATATATATATATATATATATGTATTTTTTTTTACTATATTTCAGCAACCTCCGGTGACAAGTCGGAGGCTACACAATATAAAAACAATTATCGTACCCACAATCTTAAAATAAGACATCTTATATTTTTAATACCTTACGTTAAAGACATATAAAAGAAAAAAAACAAAACTATACTAAATGGAATGCTTAAACTACTTACATTAGTTATATATATATGTTTTCGATACCTTACGCTAGAGAAAAAAAGAAGTAAAATAATTAAAATGGATAATCTTACTCGACATATCATCTACCTGGATCCTCTGCATAGGAAACCAGCCCACCGGCCCACCAGCCCCAGCGGGCAAGTGGGAAACTTACTAATGCCTTACGCTAAAAACGAAATAAAATGAAAGAAAAAAGAAAACTATATTAAAATGATATACTTAAACCACTCCTATCAGATTAATTTTATTTTAATCCACCACGAATTAATGGCGTGGTGGTGTCCATGGCAGCCTCGCCTCCGCTAGCGGTGTACGCCGGCGGGACACCATGGACACAGGCCAGTTGGCCCATCGTGACCAATTGAACAATGATTGATCACGATGGTTTCCAGGGGGAACCGCGTGGAGGTCGACCTGTTCGGGTGTATTGCTAGCAATGGTGCCGACAGTCCGCATTACTAGCAATCCCTTCCCCCCTCGAGGACTATGGCTATGCCTCCGTGTCCTGTGATCTCGCTGCCATACCCCATCCTTCGAGCCGAAAGACAGCCATGCGAGCGCAGCTGCTTCACGGCGAGAACACGGATGGGACAGAGGTATCCATGCAGACGACTTGTACAAAGTCTACCTCTGGTGAGAAATATTGGTGGTTAAACGATCTCGTCCATGGATATTTCGTTGAAGACCAGCAGTAGTCACATGGACACCTAGTCTAACGTTAGACACGATTTTGCCACTGCATGTTTAAAATAAAATAAATAATTATACTATATATTCAATAAAATAGTTAAATCCGTATATTAGATCAGCGACAATAATCAATGGTTAGATACGACTTCGCTACAACATACTCGAAATAAATTTCACTAAATATTCAGTAACACGATCGAAATATATAAAAACAATTGCTAGTCACGTGAATATTGCATTAAAAACTATTTCGATGTATCAATTATGCAGAACGTTTATCGGTTCCGACCGGTGTCTCGCTCAAATGAGCTTTTGCAGACTTCGCACCGCCCTCCAATAATCCTGCGTTTCCACACTTTACGCTTGAACGGCTTGGGGTTCTCGTGTTTCCCGTTGTGCAACTTCAGCGACAGCTCAGTGTCCTGCATATTTTCTCGCACCGATCACACGGGAATAGCATCTTTATATCGTTCTTTCTAGCGAAATGGTACATGGTTCGTAATCTCTCACAGTGATTGTCACCTTCTATGTTAAGTCTTTTAATCTCTTCTTCGCTGAAATTGGGCAGCATGAATTCGTTTATATCAATCTTCTTTTTCTGGACGACCCACTCGTTTTCTTTCTTAACTAATTCGGTTTTGCACACAGATTTGTCTTGGCTGTTTCTATTTCATGCATGCACTGTTTCAAATGTTTGGATTATTCACTATTTATTTACTAATTCCATTTACACTGTGTCCCCGAGATAATTTCAACAATTCTCGGTTACTTTTTCTTTAAGGTCTATCGAAACAGGCTCTAGTCTGAGTACCTTTGAGTTGTTTGTGATCGCAGTTGTCTATGAACAGCGTGTCCATGACGCGTTCGGCATCCTCCGCCTGCTTCGTCTCCGTCATACTCCGTGCTATATCCTCGGAGAGTACGGCGTTTGAGTAGTTCATAATGTCATCTGATTCCAGCTCGGTGCTGAGGTTCCATTCTGGAAAATAGTTAAAGAAATCTTTATATATATGTACCCACTGTATGCAACGGACAAAGTTACAGGCTACTTTTTATTGCGGTGTGAACATATCGCAGACGAAGTCGGGAGCTAAAGATATTTATTTGTTTACCAGAGGGAGATTTTGTACAAAAGTCGATTGCTCGAGTACCTCTGTCCCATTCGTGTTTCTATCGTAAAGCAGTTGTGTTTGCATGGCTGCGTTTCGGTTTGAAGGGTGGGATATGGCGTGAATTTACTGGGTACAGAGGAATAACACCTGAGTCCTCAGGAATGGCAACGCACGGGGGGTATCATGGGCGAAACAGTATACTCTGTTATGTCCATGGTACTGCTCATGTCTATAGGCGACGGTTACCACTTTCCATCAGATGGGCCGATAGCTTGTTTGCCATTCTAAGTTGTATAAAAAAAAAATATTTAACTCTTTATTGCATTAAAAACATAAAATAAACAATGACATATAAACAATTCAAGTGAAATACAGTAGCATGGAGTACAGGACAAAATATACACATAAAGGTACAAGAGGCGGTGTTATCGTTAGGGCGATCTCTTACAGACAACCTTTGGTTAAAGGAGAACAGATAGTTACTCTATTTATAATTAAAATTACTGCCCGGATCGATGTGCGAACAAAGAGTGAGTCTTCGAGTTAGACACCTAGTGAGACACTATCGGTGGGGGAAAGGGATTGTTAGTAATGGGGTCTTACTGACCCGTTGCCAGTAATACACTCTATCAAGACCTCCACGCGGATCCCCCTAAAAACCAGCGTGGTTAATTCTAGTGCAATTCGTCACAATGGGCTAACTGACCCGCTTTCATCCCTCACTGGTGCCCCGCCAGCGTATACCGATAGCATAGGCGAGGTTACCATTCCATTATCACTTATTAAAAAAAAGTTAGACACTCGAAGACTGACCACCACTATTACTACCAGAAGTTCCACAATCTTCCATATCTCAATCTCCGATGGCCATTTTGTTCGCGCACGTTTTCCGACACGTGTCTCACCTCGAAACGAGACATCTTCAGGCAAATTACTAGATCGGTGCTCGAAGCCTAGCGTCAACCGTTCTAATAAATACATATATCCTTTCAAATAAAAAAGTATTTTCTAAATCAGGTTAGAACTGATGGAGTAATAAGGTAACAAACAATAAAACAAAAATGCAATCAAATTTAACTAATTTTTCAAACTAATTTATTTATTTATTTTTAGATAACTGGGATCCATTCTTGTTAGTAAATGTACTTAAAAACTATGTTAATACTTAATTACTAATAATGATCTAGTCCTCTCGGAGAGCATTTTCACGAGAGGACTATCCAATTTATTCAAATTCAAATTCAATTCAAATTCAAAAATCATTTATTCATGTAGGACATTTTAGCCGCTTATGAACGTCAAATTTTTACATTATAATTTTATTTTTTTCCCTACCGTCCAGTTCGGTATATAGATCCAATTGAGAAGAACTGGCAAGAAACTCAATTGAATTACTTTTTTTTTTTAAAGCCAGTTTATTTACAATGTATATTTATATAGGTGTCTATGTCTAACATTAAATGAAAATTCAGTGCATGAACAACTATTGCCATGCACACTCGTCATTCAAGTAATCGTTTAGTGAGTAATAGGCTTTGCTCAGTAAATATGATTTAACAGATGTTTTGAATTTATTTAAGGGTAATTCCAACATATCCTTTGGTATCTTATTGTAAATTTTTATACCTATTCCCATAAAAGACCTATTAACTTTTTCTAAACGATACTTGGGGACAGCAAGTTTGTCTTTAAATCTAGTATTAATATTATGAATATTGCTGTTTTTTGGAAATAAGTCAAGATTTTTATGAACATATAGGATATTTGAATATATGTATTGAGAAGCAACGGTGAGGCAACAAACATGTTCAGGATACTGTTGCTACTCCCGCGTATTCGACGTAAAAACGAAGCGAAATAGAGAGCTTCCTTCTATTTGAAAACGGTTGAAAATACCATTTTTTTAATGCTAGTTTGCCTCATTCATTCCCGTTGTATTCTCGCTCGACGACTACTTGGTCACACAATTTAATAAATCCAGTTAACGCGTTAGAATTTCCATTAAATTCAGATGTAAATCTAAAAGCTTTAATTATTTTATCTAAGGCAGCCATGTTACTAATTTGATTGCTTATTATTGTCTAAAAATCCTTCCCAACGAGTATGCTAGTCCTGTATTTTAAAACTACGAGATACACGTGATTCGCCACGGTGAAAGATCTTGGAATATTTCCTAAAACGCAATTATTTACCCGAAAGGAAAAGTAAGCAATCACTAGTCAATTCAGAGTACTCACATGAGCAGCATCTCGTTTGTTCTCGGGTTGTATCTACGCTTGGATCTCTGGCTTCGTCTCCCAAAGTCAGGACACTCGAAAGCTTGACAGCTCAACCAGTGGCTACGAATAGGAGCAGGGACTGTCGGAGCTGGATACCGACTGCGGCGAGCACTGACTCCAACTGTCCTACTGCATGCGCCAGTTACGAGGACGACAACTGGAGCGTTCAAAAGAAAGCGAAATTTTACTAAATTTAATAATAAAAATTGCAATATAAATTCCCTAAAGTGTCCAATTATGATTAAAATGGGTGCTCAGTTCGATGTGCGAACAAAGAGTGAGTCTTCAAGTTGTCCCGTGTGCCGGCCTCGTGGTGCACCGTCAGCGAATGCCTAGTTGGCCGTTGACGTCATGCACACGAGTGATGGACGCGGCGCGGCGTCAGCGTTCCCGATAGTGGCTCGCTACGTAACGCGCTATAAGGTAACAAACGAACATATTTACATTCACACTCTGTCGAACTGCTTCGAATTTCTAAATGTATATCTGCGCTGTACAACTTTTTGTCCCAAAAACTTTTTGTAAAATATTAATGACTTAATGGCATTAGAACAATTGAGACTTCAGTTGTAACGAATCTAGTTGCTTTTGTCTAAAAACTAAACTACTAAACTAATTTTAATACAATTTCTATGGAAACAATCTGTAAATATATTCCTTAGGGTACAATGGGAATTTGCCAAATCGGTTTACAACTGACGGAGTTATGAGGTGACAGACATAACAAAAATACAACCGAATCGAGAATATCCAAGAAGTCACTACAATAGTTCTTTTTTATTGACCTGATACTCCAATAGGCTAGGGGGGAAAAGGGATTGTTAGTAATGGAGACTGAGAATCCCATAGCAATATACCCAACCAGGTCGACCACCTCGCGGTTCTCCCTGGAAACTGTCATGGTTAATTCCTGATGAATTCATCATGATAGGCTAACTGGCCTGTTTTCATTCTCATCTATCACCCTTCACTGGTGCTCCACCAGCGTATCCCGTTAGCGCAGGCGGAGTTACCATACCATTTTCACCCATAAGAAAAAAACTCCAATAGGCTATTTTTATATTCGATGTTTATAATTAATTTTTAAGCTTTCGACATATTACCGACATATTTTTACATTTAAACAATTTAGACATTATTAGTTACATATATTACTAGCTTTTACCAGCGGATTCGCTTGCGTTAATAGAGATTTTGTTCAACAATTCCGGTTGTTGGTACAGGTAGAGATAAAATAGTTACAAAAATAAACTCACAGACTGCATTACCACCAATCTCTTTCCCAATTTGTGATGAATATGTTACGGGGGGGCGGGGAGGATGGTTGTTAGTACTAAGATCCAACAAGGTCGAGCTCCACATAATTCTTTCTGGAAAACAACCTGGTGAATATTTGTCGAATTCGTCATAGTGGGCCAACTGATTTGCTTCCACCCTCACGTATCATCTCTCACTGGTGCCCTGCCAGCGTATACCAACAGCGCAGGCGAGGATCGTGATGGAGTCAGAACAAAGTTACAAGCGAAGGTATTATGAAGAGATACAAGTAACTACAATAACGAGTGAAATTAACACATGTTCATATGAAAAATGTTATTATGCAAATATAATATCCAATAGGTGGGTAGGTGACGGCACGCGACTGATTTGCCGTTTAAGCATTCAATTCAGATGTAGTTTCAGCCTACATTACATTATGATATTTAGCAAATCATAATAACACAGTATCTACAAGAAAAATGCAAGATTCAGTGCCTAATATTTAATTTACAATTATATTTAACACTTACCCAATATGTGGGGTAGATAGCTCGCGTCACACGATCACTGTTCGAAATATGTGAAAGCAGTAATTTGCGACCTCTTTCCGCATAATTGGTTTTCTAAATTATGCAGATAGAGGTCACAGTTTACTTTATAAATATATTATTGTCAATAAACAAGCACAAATAACGTTAGTTCTTTAGAATGTAACCGATGTCTCGCCGCCCATCAACGACGACGGCCGCAGAAGTCGCTCTAGTGATGTGCACGGCATCGCTAAAACATCGCATTAAACTAGTGCGGTCGTGTTAAATCTATAATCGAGAACTAGTTCGATTGTGTTTTAATAGAATTGAATTGAATAAATTTCAATTATTTATTATTATTTTATTAATATATTATTAAAATAAACTTTATATATACACTTAAATAATTTTATTTTTTTTAAGAAAACCCAACAGCTAAAAATATAATAATAAAAAATGGTGTAAAAACAAAACGCCAATAACAGGTTTTCACAAATAAAAACAATATTGAACTAAATGCACGTGACATCGCCAATACTTACAATCGACTAAATTAAACTTACAGTAACAGCATTATAGCAGTACACGCATTATACGGAGGCGGTTGTGTAAAATAAAAGGTTAAAATTGTTTATCATATATATGAAATAAATGCTTAATAATATTATGATTTGCTAAATGTAACTTTAAAATTACATTACCTACAAGCAATATACCGGGGGAAGGGATTGTTAGTAATGAAGAGGTTAGTTCCCATTACTAATAAACATCGGTTCCACGCGGTATTCCCTGGAAACTATTGTGACTAATTTATCGTTGTATTCGTCACGATGGGCCAACTGACTTGCTCTTTCATCTTCACCTTTCACCCCTCACTGGTGCCCCGTCAGTATACAAATAGCGTAGGCGGAGTCATCATTCCATTATCATCCATTAAAACAAGCAATACACCTCCACGCGGCTTCCCCCGGAAACCATAGTAGTTAATTCTTGTAAAATTCATCACGATGGGCTAACTGACCGGCTTCCATCACCTATTACCCCTCACTGGTGCTTCGCCAGCGTATATCGATAGCGCAGGTGGAGGTACCTCATTTGTAAACGAGGAATATGGGGGGGATGGGATTATTAGTAATGGGGTCTAATAGCCCCATTACTAGCAATATGCCCTCTCAGGTCAACCTCCACGCGGTTCCCCCTGGAAATCTACGTGACTAATTTATCGTTAAATTCATCATGATGGGCTAACTTGCCTTTTCAGCCTCACCTATTTGCCCTCACCGGTGCCTCGCCAGTGTATACTAACAGCGCAGGCGGGGTTACCATTGCTTTACCATTCATTAAAAAAAAAACGCAGTATCTTCAGGCATATTAACATGTCGCTGCTTGGAGCCTAGTGTTTAGTATTCAGCATCGAAACTGTGAAAGAATATGTTGCCGAACGGTTAACACTAGGCTTTGAGCAGAGACATATTGATTTGCCAAAGGAAACCACGTTTAGAGATGAAAGACGTGCGTGGACAAAGTGACAGTCGGAGATTTATGGCAAATATGGATGGTTGTTGGCCGTGTGGTCCCGACATAGGATAAGCCACCCCTTCTTATTCTGTGGGTGTCGTAAGAGCCGATTAAGAGACGGCGAAGGATGGGCAGTAGCATCTCTCTTAAAATTAAGCAGTGGGTGGAAGCCGGTGGCAGTACTCAGAAGGTCAAGATAGTGCCAGGCGCGTCAGCAGGCAAAGTTAAGGCTACAGTTTTCTGAGATGCACTAGGATACAATCTTAATTGATTCCCTCCAAAAAAGAGAATACAGTAAACAGAGAGTATTACGCTATACTCTTGGGCCAGTTAAACCAAGAAGTAAAAAAGAACGGCTTCCCCTTATCAAGATTTTTTTATACATCTTAGAATGGCAAACCAGCTGACGGCCCACCTGATGGAAAGTGGTAACCGTCGCCTATAGACATGAGCAGTACCATGGACATAACAGAGTATACTGTTTCGCCCATGATACTCCCCCATGCGTTGCCATTCCTGAGGACTCAGGTGTTATTCCTCTGTACCCTGTAAATTCACGCCATATCCCACCCTTCAAACTGAAACACAGTCATGCAAACACAACTGATTCACGGTAGAAACACGAATGGGACAGAGGTACCCAAGCAATCGAATTTTTTACGACTCATAAATCCACCCTCGTATTCTATGATCAACGTTTCAGTTCGCTAGCAGAGCACTTACATACACATATACACTTCGGTAAGCAGGCGCCACGAGAGCTTTTAATGCTATTGGCCTATCCACCTATATAAAGGGACGTAGCTGAGTACAGTTAATCATTTTTCATATCACATATTTAACCAGCTGCTTGTGACATACTCCGACCCTACAGGGGGGAGAGGGATTGTTAGTAATGGGAGGATAATCCCCATTGTTAGTAGTATATCTTGTAACGTCTGTCTCTGCAGTTCCCCTGGAAACTAATGTGATTAAATCTTGTTGAATCCATCACAGTGGGCTAACAGGCCTGTTTTTGGGGGGAAAGGGATTGTTAGTAATGGAGGCTGAGAATCCCATTGCTAGCAATATACCCAACTAGGTCGACCTCCTCGCGGTTCCCCCTGGAAACTATCATGGTTGATTCCTTAATGAATTCATCATGATGGACTGACTGGCCTGTTTTCATTCTCATCTATCACCCTTCACTGGTGCTCCGCCAGCGTATCCCGTTAGCGCAGGCGGGGTTACTATACCATTTTCACCCATCAAAAAAAAACAGACCTGTTTGCATCCCCGTCTACCATCCCTCACTGGTGCCCTGCCAGCGTATACCGATAGTGCAGGAGGAGCTACCATTCCATTATCACCCATTAAGAACTCCAAACCTACAGAGTATCGCGGTCAAGCGAACAAAGTCGTGGTTAAACACTAGTTGTAAAATAAAACAAAGGAATAGAAATGAAAACTATTTATTTAGAGAATTGAAAGAACAGGAATTACTAATGAAAGTTACTTAAAATTAATAGACTTCCGTTACCCAGTAAGCTGAAAGTTTGTCAGCGTACGCCCGCCACAGGAGGTGCCTGTACACCCTTGCTGGCCGGAACCTGCCAAAGCCACAAAGATGACCCCAACTACATAGTAGCCTATCGTTGCCACCTGCGTTGGAAGCATGCGCCGAGAAACTCTCTCAGCTTCTACAGAATAACGACGGTCTGGAAACATACGCTTACACTAACCAATGCTTAAACTAACCAATGCTTAAACTAACCAATGCTTAAACTAACCAATGCTTAAACTAACCAATGCTTAAACTAACAAACGCTTAAACTAACAAATGCTTAGACTATCAAATGTTTATTCTGACAAGAATTAGAAAGTTGTATATAAAAGCTAATATTACAGTGTATTAACCATTTCACTGCTCGCGTTTAATAACCTAATTATAATAAGAAAACTGTATACTAAACAGTGACCGTCTGTTTGTCCAGACAATTAGCAGCAGCCTCCGGGGACAAGGCGGAAGCTGCACGAATTAGGCGTCACACTTCCTTACGCTAAATACATTATATATAAAAGAAAAAAAAAAACTATATGAATTAAATGAAATGCTTAAACTACTCACATGTTTAGTTGTATATATATGTTATGTTTCCAATACCTTACGCTAAAGAATTAATGAAACGAGAAATAAAACTTTGTAATGGCGGACGTCCCTCGACACACCATCCACTCGGCCGCTTCGTTGGAGAGCACCCAATCAGCCCCCGAACACCGCAGCCGAGTGGGGAACGTACTCGAGTCTAGTTATAATGTTTACGCTACATTACGCCAATGGCGAGTAATAGAAAAAAAAACCTATATTAAATGAAATGCTTACACTACTCTAACTAGACACATGTTATATTGGACACATGCTGTATGCTTGAGGCAAACTAAATATAATGAATATTGTATGTAGAAAAAACGATCTTACTAGAAGTACACATTGGTGAGGTGGTAAAGGAACCGGTCGGCAGGTACGATTTCGAGACAGCATGCTACAAAATAGTACTCGACACAGCGACGCTCCACCACCAACACCACGAGCGATATTTACAAATCAGCAATAAACAAAAAAAAAAGGTTCTTAACTAAACTATTAAGAGTTTTATTTTAATCCACCACGAACAATGGCGTGGTGGTGTCCATGGCAGCCTCGCCTCCGCTAGCGGTGTACGCCGGCGGGGCGCCATGGGCACAGGCCAGTTGGCCCATCGTGACCAATTGAACAATGATTGATCACGATGGTTTCCAGGGGGAACCGCGTGGAGGTCGACCTGTTCGGGTATATTGCTAGCAATGGGGCTGATAGTCCGCATTACTAGCAATCCCTTCCCCCCTCGAGGACTATGGTGTTATGCCTCCGTGTCCTGTGATCTCTCTGCCATATCCCATACTTCGAGCCGAAACACAGCCATACGAGCGCAGCTGCTTCACGGCGGGAACACGGTTGGGACAGAAGTATCCATGCAGACGACTTGTACAAAGTCTCCCTCTGGTGAGAAATATTGGTGGTTAAACCAACTCGTCCATGGATGTTCCGTTCTAGACCAGCACTCGTCATGTTGGCAGCTGTGAGATTTCGCCACCGCATACTAGAGACGGAATTTTACTAAATATCTAGCAATATGGTTAAAATGTATAAAAACAACTACTATAGAGTAGGCTTTAGATCCGGGTCAGCGGACATGTCCAAGTATTCATTTCTGCCATAGCCTATTTTTCTCCCTGAGTTGTTTTTTAATAGCCAACCTCCTGAGATATTCATGCTTGCTCATTGCAATTCTCCTAATCACTCTCTTCTCTCTTCTGATCATTTTATTTTCTGCTGCAATAGTTTTTCGCTTAATATTACTATCGACATTCTCCGCAGTTCTTTCCTTAGTACACTCATCGATTCCTGGCTCGATTCCCGTCGGTTGCAACCCGTAGTCAGTTCTCGTTTCCAACTCATCAAAATCTTCAATATTCTCCCTACACATTTTGTTGTAAATCTTCAAAAACTGCCAGAACTCAATGTCTCCCCCTTTGATGTTATTCTTGTAGAAATCTATGAGTTTCGGGTCGCATTTGTGTTTGTTTTTCACCGGTTTCGGGTCTGCGAACCGGTTGTTACTAACCGGCTTCTCGGTTCCGACCGGTGTCTCGCTCAAATTGGCTTTTGCAGACTTCGCACCGCCCTCTAACAGCCTGTGTTTCCACACTTTACGCTTGAACGGCTTGGGGTCCTTCTCGTGTTTCCTGTTGTGCAACTTCAGCGCGCTCAGTGTCCTGCATATTTTCTCGCACCGATCACACGGGAACAGCATCTTTATATCGTTCTTTTTAGCGAAATGGTACATGGTTCGTAATCTCTCACAGTGATTGTCACCTTCTATGTTAAGTCTTTTAATCTCTTCTTCGCTGAAATTGGGCAGCATGAATTCGTTTACATCAATCTTCTCTTTCTGTACGACCCACTCGTTTCCCTTCTTCACTAATTTCGTTTTCGTCACAGATTTGTCTTTGCTTTTTCTATTTCTCTTATCGATCTCTTCGCTGGCTTTCTTATTGAGAATTTTCACGCTCGGAATTATCTCCATTTCTTTGACAACCGCGTTGTTCAGTGTGTAATAGTATCTAGATTTATTGTCGTTGACCACCTTGTCGTTGATGTGGGCGAACGGTAGCTTGTCTATGGTGACGCCGTGTATCTTCTTCAGGTGCCGCCTGATGTCGAATTTCGTGACAAAGTCGCACAGGGGACATTTCTTGAGCGTCGTTTCAGTGCACACGTCGAAATGTACTTTGCAATGGTCCAGTAACATCTGCTTCGTTGCGAACAACTGAAAAAATATAAAAAAGAATTATCATTGAAGATATCATGGGAGACTCACTTATATAGAGGGAGACTTTGTACAAAAGTCGATTGATTGACCTCTGTCCCATTCGTGTTTCAACCGTGAATCAGTTGTGTTTGCATGGCTGTGTTTCGATTTGAAGGGTGGGATATAGGGCGACTTTACTGGGTACAGAGGAATGACACTAGAGTCTTCAGGAACGGTAACGCATGGGGAGGAACTAATGTGAAAGTATATCGTTCAGTTACAAAAAATCGTTAATTAATCACGGAGTTTTCAGGGAAGAAACATAATAAAAATAGAATCGAATTGGAAAGCTTAGGCGCGGATTTTAGAAATAGGAAACCCAAAGATATACAACACTTTTAGATGGCGTTTCCAGCGTCCGATATGGTGGAGTACTTTTAGCGTGATATCGGAACAAACATACTGACAGACAAAATTTCTAAAAATAATTTTCTGGTATCTTTTGCCCTTTTTAAGACCTATCATACATTTCTATAACTTATATCATACATTTCTATAACTAATAATGCAACTTTTAAAATATTTGTACTCTAGTATTATTTAAATCCTTAAAATTGTTTACTTCATTTCATACTTACCAGAGGGAGACTTTGTACAAAAGTCGATTGCTTGGCTACCTCTATCCCATTCGTGTTTCTACCGTGAATCAGTTGTGTTTGCATAGCTGTGTTTCGGTTTAAAGGGTGCGATATGGCGTGAATTTACTGGGTACAGAGGAATAACACCTGAGTCCTCAGTAATGGCAACGCATGGGGGGTATCATTGGCGAAACAGTACACTCTGTTATGTCCACGGTACTGCTCATGTCTATGGGCGACGGTTACCACTTTCCATCAGGTGGGCCGTCAGCTTGTTTGCTATTCTAAGTCGTATAAAAAAAATACTCTATAATTATGTTAAAGTGAATGCTGTGAATACCTTCAAAAGGCATGTGCATTAATATTGTATTGTATTTAATGTTTGTTATACCTATATGTTATAATGCAATATGTTGTTGGTGTTCCTTAAATAAATAAATAAATAAATATTTTTTCTTAAACATCTCCCATATCAAATCCGGCTGCCAAGTGCGGCTGTTCCTGATACGATGATGATGAGCTGCCATGTACAGACATCGCCTAGTTACAATTCCATTACATTAGCACAATACTGACCTTGAAACAGATATAGCACTGGTGCGTGTTCAACTTCAACTTTGCGTTCCCTCGCCTGGTCGACTCCATATTGTCGTCCTTCTCACACATACTAGTAGACACATCTACTTCTGTATCGCTATCTGTAGTATTGCCGTCTCTGTCTGCGTTATCTTCTTCTCTTTCTCTGGCACTGCCCTCAATTTCTAGCCTATTATTGTCTTCAATGATATTGTTGACCCTTTCTGCAATATTGTCGTCTCTATTTATTGTATCTTCATCTGTTTCTTTGAAATTGAGGTCTTTTCCACTAGTATTGCTGTCCCTTTCTGTTGTACCGTAGCCACTTTCAGTAGGAGTGTTGTCTCTTTCTATGATATGGTCGTCTCTTTCACTCGTGTCGTCGTTATGGACGGTGTCATCATTATCGGAGTTATGTGTATTTTTATACACTTGTGATTTCTCTGAAATATAAATCCATTATTAAATTATTAAGTTTCATCTCTTATGAACCATAAAACCTTAGGTCTTGTCCTTTTACTTGCTTACCTCTTGTACCTGTTCTCTCTTTGGTTCCTCTGTTAAAATCATTCCTCTTTTCATCAACGTCTTCTGGTTTCTTCACATTAAGTACCCTTCTTACACAATTCTCGTCAATTTCAATTCTGTCAGCTTTTATTTTACCTAAAACAATAAATAAATAAATTGTTATACTAGTTTCCGTTAATAATCACAGATAAAAATAAAAAAAAAATGTTAAAACTAACTATTTTACTACTAATGGGCTAAGGGAACTTAATGGTCCAGAGATGGGGCAGCAGCGTCCTTCTTAAAACACCACCAAAGCCTAATTGCGGTTGCCAACCAGACCGCCAATATATTCTATTGAAATAGGCTCTAGTCCGAGTACCTTTGAGTTGTTTGTGATCGCAGTTGTCTATGAAAAGCGTGTCTATGACGCGTTCGGGATCCTCCGCCTGCTTCTTCTCCGTCATGCTCCGTGCTATATCCTCGGAGAGTACGGCGTTTGAGTAGTTCATACTGTCATCTGGTTCCAGCTCATTGTTGAGGTTTAATTCTGGAAAATAGAAAAAAAAAAACTATATGAAACGGATCTTCGAAAATCCTGCTCGAAGGACCAAAATTATAAATATATCTATACTGTTTGTAATGGATAAATTCAATAACTAATCAACAGATTTGAGTATCATAAATTCTTTTACCTAAAGAAAACTAGCTATGCAGTTTACTGATAAAGCAGCAGTTAGTTTTCTTTAGTTATCAACAAGTGGGATAGGTTTTATATTATTTACCAAAAACTATCTATCCGTACGATCAAAAAGTTTGTTATACACAGATAGGAAAAACTTTAAAACAATCATAGGGACAATAACGGGTCATTGTCCATTAAACAAACATTTATACACAATAGGAGCAACAGACAGCCCTCTATGTCAAGGCGGTCTCGACGCCGAAGAAACGGCTGCTCACGTAATCCTGGAATGTGAGGCTGTGGCCCATCAACGTTTAGATATCCTCGGAACGGTGAGGTCGCTCCGTGAGGCCTGTGAAGATCCCAGGAAGCTTATGCTTCTGGGCAGAGCTGGGCTGGCTGAACTAACCACGACTCATACGCACAACGGCCTAAATAAGAGGCTTAGGACTGAAACTAGAGTCCAATTTATATTACATCTATGGGAGGCCGAAGCGAACGGCTTCCAATGGATAGGTCCTGAAGTGATTTTGTAATGACTGCGTCTTCAATCAGATGTGACAAGGGTAAAAACTGGTAAATATTAATCGGCTCCTCACCAGCGAACACCTCGTGTTTCTCTATCTCCAGCAGGTCTATCTCCGCGTCCGGCACCAGCTCGTCCTGCTCTTCAGGCTCCTCCTTGATGTGCACCAATGGAGCCGTTTGCGACTTTCTATTAATAGAAAAAATACCATTAAATCTTACTAATATTTTTTTTAATGGGTGATAATGGAATGGTAACCCTACCCGCGCTATTGGTATACACCGGCGGGACACCAGTGAGGGATGATAGGTGAGGATGAAGCAGGTCAGTTAGCCCATCGTGACGAATTCAACAAGAATTGTTCACGATGGTTTCCAGGGGGGAACCACGTGGAGGTCGACCTGGTAGTGTATTGCTAGCAATGGGTTAGTTAGATCCCATTACTAATAATCACTTTCACCCCTAGTCTAACGATATTATGCAATACACTTTACCAGACCGACCGTTGTTAATTCTAGTGGAATTCGTCGTAATGGGCTAACGGTTCTGCTTTCATCCTCACCTATCATCCTTCACTGGTGTCCCGCCAGTGTATACCCATAGAGCAAACGGGGTTACCATTCCATTATTACCCATTAAAAAAAATTTTTAGACTTATGAATAAAGAAGTTAGTCGCAAGTCTAACGACTTAAAACTAGTCAATATGAATTTTGCTCTAAAACGTACTGGATCCTTTTGATATGTGTTATCAGAATAAGGGCAGGATAATGGTAATGAGTAAACTTACGAGTCCTGACTCTGCGCGATTCCTCCTCGCCTTCTCAAGCGCCGCTTTGGATATTTTTGCTTCTGAAAAAAAAATATACAATTTAATAATGTCCAAATTGGTGATAAACTGACGGCCCATCTGATGGTAAGTGGTAACCGTCGCCTATGAACACCTCCAATACCAGAGGTATTACGCGCGCGTTGCCGACCCTGAAGAAATCTCTTTACCCCCCTTTTGAAGAACCCACGCTGTAGTCTCTTGGGAAAACCTCGGCAGGAAGCTTATTCCATAACCTGAGTGTTCGTGGGAGGAAACATCTCTGAAACCGCGCAGTACGCGACCATTGAGGCTGTAGGACATGAGGATGAACTCCCTGTCGATGGCCAGCCGTACGATGGTAGAAAGTGGCTGTGGGCATCATATTGAACAATTCCTCTGAGCACAATCCATTGTACAGGCGTATGTTTTTTTTATACAACTTAGAATGGCAAACAAGCTGACGGCCCACCTGATGGAAAGTAGTAACCGTCGCCTATAGACATAAGCAGTACCATGGACATAAAAGAGTATACTGTTTCGCCCATGATACCCCCCATGCGTTGCCATTCCTAAGGACTCAGATGTTATTCCTCTGTACCCAGTAAATTCACGCCATATCCCACCTTTCAAACCGAAACACAGCCATGCAAACACAACTGCTTCACGGTTGAAACACAAATGGGACAGAGGTACCCAAGCAATCGACTTTTGTACAAATAATGACCAACCAACTGGCCTGCTTGGGGGGAAGGGATTGTTGGTATGTCTGTAGGTCAACCTCCAAGTGGTTCCCCCTGGAAACATCCTTGCTAAATTCCTGGTGTATTCATCACGATGGGCTAACAGACCTGGCTCTTCATCCTCACCTATCATCTCTCACTGGTGCCCCACCAGCGTATACAGATAGCTCAGGCGAAGTTATCATTCCATTTTCATTTAAAATAAAAAAAAAACATATATATAATTTTGAGGGATGAAGTAAGAGATATAAGGACAGACTGTAATCCTTTTTTTATGGATGAAAATAGAACTGCAACTCTACCTGCGCTGCCGGTAGACGCTGGCGGGGCACCAGCGAGGGATGATAGGCGAGAATAAAAGCAGGTCAGTTGTCACGTCGTGATGGATTCAACAATAAATTAATCTCGTTTCCAAGCCTCACAGTTCGTCCTGACAGGGTTTTTTTTTAATGGTGAAAATGGTATGGTAACTCGGCCTGCGCTAACGGGATACGCTGGCGGAGCACCAGTGAAGGGTGATAGATGAGAATGAAAACAGGCCAGTTGGCCTATCATGATGAATTCATCAGGAAATTAACCATGATAGTTTCCAGGGGGAACTGCGAGGAGGTCGACCTGGTTGGGTATATTGCTAGCAATGGGATACTCAGTCTCCATTACTAACAATCCCTTTCCCCCCGTCCTGACAGGGTTTCCAGCCCGCTAGTCCCCATTGCTAACAATCTCTTTTCGACCTGAGTTTGTAAATCGGTCTCTGCCCACCCTGCGATAGATGTAGCGTGAAGATATTATACTCACGTGTGTGCGGGCGCAGCGCTGGCCGGGCGGGCCGTACATATGTTTGTGTATATGCTTGCCAAGGACCATTTTGCTGAAAATACTGAAAATTGAATAAAAAATATTATTAATTTCAGCCGTAAGCTGTCCACTGGTGAACATAAGCCTTCCCCATGAGGGAGGTTTTGCCAGTAGCTGCCACGCTTGGCAGGCGTGTGGGCAACCGCATTTAGGCCTTTAGAGATGTTTTACGAGGGATGCTTTTTTTTATATATAATATAGAATAAAGGAAATATACACTCAGAAGACAAGTGAAATGAAGACTACACCCCATAAAAAAATACTTCAATTATAACAGAATCCTGTCAAACTCCATTGCTAACAATCCCTTTTCCCCCAAAGCAGTTAGTTTGATCAAAAAAAACTAAACTACTTTTTTTTTCTTATCTATGTTTAATTTGTTTTTTTTTATACAACTTAGAATGGCAAACAAGCTGACGGCCCACCTGATGGACAGTAGTAACCGTCGTCTATAGACATGAGCAGTACCATGGACATAACAGAGTATACTCTTTCACCCATAATACCCCTCACGCGTTGCCATTCCTGAGGATTAAGGTGTTATTCCTCTGTACCCTATAATTTCATTGCCATATCCCACCCTTCACCCATCACCCTGTTTCATGGTAGAAACACGAATGGGACAGAGGTACCCAAGCAAACGACTATTGTACAGTCTCCCTCAGAGTAGGGATCGCAGAATATTTTTACATACTGAGGGGGTCACGTCATGAAAAATATTGAAAAACACCGACATAGATAGTTCATGGAAAGAGTAAACATGAAAGTGAATATATTTTACTATTCGGTTACAATACATACCAAAATATCAAATGACATGGCAACGCCCCAGCCGAGTCAAACACAACCGTACCATCCCTTTCCAATTAATCAAGGTCGTCTCTAGCCGCCCGATGTTGCGTGGGCGGGCGAGGTAGGGGCCTCGGGGTATACCCCACTACCCCGGCTTCAACTCCGGAGGCGACGACCTCCGGGTCGCTGGCTTCTTCAGCCGGCATACACTGATGGTCTGTGTATGCCAGCGTGGTGTCCTCTTTCTTGAGGACCTCTTCTCTGCTCTTGAGTTTATAGTATATTTATTTTTTTATTTTATTCTATTTATCCTTTTCCAGATTTAATTTTACCGATATCACTGCTAGATGGCGTTGTTCAATCTTTATACAAAGGCGACGAGCCCAACACCTAAATAGAAGCCATGTGAACACTCACCAAATGCCGCAGTAGTCGCACACGTAGCTCTTCTTGGTCGCGTGCTGCCGTACGTGCGCGTTCAGCCGCGTCCGCCTCGTGAACAGCTTCCCGCAGACCGCGCACGGCAGCTGCTTCTCCGGCGTGTGGGTCACGGAGTGCCTTTTCAACGCCCACTGGTGGCCAGGAGTAAAAATTAATTGTATATAGCGTGGTGTTTCCCAACGTGGGGTCCACGTTCTACAGGGGAGCAATTTGATAGTTAAGGGGGGGGGGGGGTTAAAAAAATGGACCTGAAGCGATTTTTAACCTCTTGCTCCGGGCCATTTAAATGCAATGCTACGAGTAGATATCGGTGTCAAACTTAACAAAAAAATAATAATAAATAAAAAAATGCTGTAAATATTTACATACATACATACATACATATCTGTCACGCCTGTCTCCCATTAGGGCAGGCAGAAACAATGGAACGAACGCTGTAAATATTTATTAGGTATAATTTCGTTTGACGTTACCAAAATATCAACTGGGCGATTAGAGTCGTCAAGTAAACTTTGTCGGGAAAAAATATGTATGGGGACGTAAACAATTTATGAAATGTTCAAGTGGGGCGTGGCACAAAACGTTGGGAAACACTTATATAGAGTGTTTATTTGTACGTAATTTTGTTAATTTATATTCCGATATGTAAACTATCTAATATTCGTCATACCAGCCTTTAACTGTCCACTGCTGGACATAAGCCTCCCCCTTGGGGGGTTTTGCCAGTCGTTGCCACGCTTAGGAGGAGAATGTTACTAGCATTGAGTCCGTCTTTTGGTCGATACCGTTAGGAATTTGGTAATTGGTTATTATTTAGTTAATCTTTAGCTGTACGGTTATTACCCTTGTACATTCTACAGTTTTCTTTCAGCTTCCCAAAGGTCGACTGTAAGAGATCCCTCTATGGGTTAAGTCCGCCATTGTATATTAAATCATTTATCAGTGCTCAATTTGAATTACGTGCAATAAAGACTTTACAATACAATACAATAGTTATTTAAATAAATAAATAAAATACATAATCTGATAACATTGGCTAGAAAGTAAGAAATTGGTCTCGTTTGCTTGGGTACCTCTGTCCCATTCGTGTTTCAACCGTGAAGCAGCCGTGTTTGCATGGCTGTGTTTCGGTTTGAAGGGTGCGATATGGTAGTGAATTTACAGGATACAGAAGAATAACACCTGAGTCCTCAGGAATGGCAACGCATGGGGGGTATCATGGGCGAAACAGTATACTCTGTTATGTCCATGGTACTGCTCATGTCTATAGACGACGGTTACCACTTTCCATCAGGTGGGCCGTATGCTTGTTTACTACCTCAGTGGTATAAAAAAAAAATACTAATGATAGCAGAATTAAACAAAATAATTCCAAACAAGTAACGCGTGATATGGACTTCCGCAAGGTAACAGCTAGTTCAGTGAAATGCCACTACCCACTTTGTCCTTGAACTGCTTCCGGCAGCCGTTGAAGGTGCACTTGTACGGTCTGTCGTCGCTGTGACTGACCATGTGCGCCGCCATATTGTTCTTGTTCGTCAACTGCTTACCACAAATGTCACATTTACACACCGTCGACTTCTCGTGTACGGCACGCTGGAACAAATAATATATAAATACCGTTATATATATATATATATATATATATATATATATATATATATATATATATATATATATATATATATATATATATATATATATATATATATAGCGGGCCACCTCGTTGACCCGCTTGTAGGGCGTGGGTTCTTGGGCGTTGGATCAGGCTGGAGAGGGAAACGGTTTGTTTTCCTTTGAAGCTTCTAGTTCAGCTCGGAAGTGTTTCTAGTTCCTTGTCGGACCGGGGAATGCATGCCGCACACCGGTGGGCGGCCGGTCGCACGACAACGATTACTAACTCACATTGGTGAGTTTGTGCGAGCGGGACGGCGCGAGTGGGAAAGAGACGCGCGACGCTTCTGAGCGGGCACCATTCAGCATCTATTTACTTACGATACAAACATCCTTATGAGTATTATTTCACAATGTTTTCCTTATTTCTATCGTGGGTAATAAGGACTCGACATAGTAAATGTTTCATTTCCCTTACAAACTATAAGAAACATACATTCTATAAACAACTATATAGGTAACAATTTACACGATTAAACACTAATTAACTTATGCTAACAATCAGTAATTAGAGATAACTGTAAAATATCGCTATAACTACATAAAGTGAACTATAATGTCTCGAACAATAACTATATATGTTGCCGCGTGGTACCGGCATAGAATGGGCCACCACTTTTCGCGTGGGTGTCGTAAGACGCGACCAAGGAGAGCGTGGGATGGGCAGCAGTATCCCTCCTAAAACATCTCCAAAGCCTGACTGCCAAATACCCCCAGGAGGAAGCTTATGTTGAACGGCGACAGTTAAAGGCAGATATGATAATTAAATATATATTTATTTATTTATTTATATTAGTTATGCTATTATATATGTGTGTATGTATGTGTATAACTTACTATATGCGTCCTCAGATTCGGCCTCAGCTTGAACATCTTCCCGCAGACGTTGCAAGGGAACTTCCTGAGGTCCACGTTGAAGTGTTTCTCAGCCACGTGCTCTTTCAGCCGGGCTTTCGTGTTGTATCTGAAAACATTTTTGTATTTATTATTATTATTATTGTATCATCTGTTAATTGCCCAATGCTGGGTGTAGGCCTTCCAAAAAAGGGGATTTTGCCAATAGGCGCCACGTTAGGCAGAGGGGATGGCAACCAAAGTTAGACTTTGGTGATATTTGACATGACACACACACACACACACGCGCGCACAGACGCCCACGTGCGCACACACACATGCACACACACACACACACACACGCGCGCGCGCGCATTCACACACACACGCACGCATACACACACGCACACACGCACACACACTACCACCCGCACACACACACACGCGCACACACACAAACACGCGCGCACACACACACACACACACACACACACACACACACACACACACACACACACACACACACACGCACGCACGCACGCACACGAACACGCGCGCGCGCCGCACACACACACACACACACACGCACACGCACACGCACACGCACACGCACACGCACACGCACACGCACACGCACACGCACACGCACACGCACACGCACACGAACACGCACACGCGAACACACACACACACACACACACACACACACACACACACACACACACACACACACACGCACACACACACGCACACGCACACACACACACACACACACACACGCGCGCGCGCGCGCACACACACACGCACACGCTCACACACACACTTGCGCACTCGCGCTTAAGATGAGAGAGAAAGAGTACTTACTGCTTGGAACAGTAGCTGCACGTGTACACCTTCAGCACTCCCATGTGCCGCTCGTGGTGGCGGCGTAGTGTGGACGTGTCCCGGCACGCGTACTCGCAGAACGAACATTTGTACGGCTTCTCGTCTGTGGACAAAACGGCCCGCATGATCGGAAACGGTAACCATCAACAAGATACATGAACAGCACCATATACATAAGAGTATACTGCGTCACCCATGATACTCTTCATGCGTTGCCATTCCAACAAATACACCATATATATAACAGAGTATACTGCGTCGCCCATGATACGCTTCACGCGTTGCCATTCCAACAAATACACCATATATATAACAGAGTATACTGCGTCGCCCATGATACGCTTCACGCGTTGCCATTCCAACAAATACACCATATATATAACAGAGTATACTGCGTCGCCCATGATACTCTTCATGCGTTGCCATTCCAACAAATACACCATATATATAACAGAATATACTGCGTCACCCATGATAGGCTTCACGCGTTGCCATTCCAACAAATACACCATATACATAACAGAATATACTGCGTCGCCCATGATACCCTTCACGCGTTGGCATTCCAACAAAAACACATAGTGGGCAAAAAGCAAGTACTTAAAGGAGAAGAAGAAAGAAAGAACAATACTCACTTGTGTGTATCAACTTGTGAGTGTCCAGTGTGTATTTGGCGCTAAACGTCTTGCCACATTCACCACATTTGTACGGCTTCTCACCTGAAATAGTTATAATAGTTTTTTTTTTAAATGTATGACAATGGTATGGCAACCCCGCCTGCGCTAACGGTAAACGCTGCCGGGGCACCAGTGATGGATGATAGATGAAGATGAAAAGGCAGGTCAGTCACCTTTCAAACTGAAACACAGCCATACAAACACAACTGCTTCACGGTTGAAACACGAATGGGACAGGGGTACTCAAGCAATCGACTTTTGTACAAAGTCTCCATCTGGTGGACAAACACACCAAATAACCAGGTTTTGAAATAAAACAACTCCTCCATCACTCACCAGTGTGGACCCTCATATGCGACGCCAGATTGGACTGGAAGTGGAACATCTTGCCGCACACATCACACTTGCACGCGCTGGGGTCCCCGTGCGCCCGCCGCATGTGCCTCGCGAGGTACTGCCGCGTCTTGCACGTGTATTTGCACAGGTCGCACGTGTACGGGTCGCTCTTGTTGTGCAGTTGCATGTGTTTTGTCAGCGAACCCCTTTCTTTGAATATCTACAATGAAGATTTTTGTTTTTTATTGCCACACTAGCGGCTCGTCCCGGCTTCGCACGTGTGGACATTTTTACAACATTTCAAAAAGTGGTTTTGTGACATAACGATAATAGTTGGACACTATATGTCCAACGCGAAATTATTTGTAGTTATTGATATTTTCTTCAATATTGTATAACATACTTTTGTTCTATCACCAATAGTTTCCGCAGCGCACGCGACCAAAGATATTTTATAGCATTTTTTTGACACCTTGAGTTACGTTACTAATGTTTTAGTAAGGATCCCTAATCTTTTCTAGCAATAAATATAGCCTATGTTACTCAGGGTGAATGTAGCTTTCTAATAGTGAAAGAATTCTTGAAATCGGCAAAGTAGTTTTTGAGTTTATTCATTACAAACAATACATATATACAAAAATACAAATCTTTTCTCTTTAATTTAAAAATTGAAAACTGAAATAGTAGTTACACTTGTGATTCGGCTAGGTTACAATCCAATTACATTATGTGCACAGCTTGAGTAATTCAAGTGTGTATATATATATATATATATATATATATATATATATATATATATATATATATATATATAATGAGTAGGGATAATATTTTTATAATATTTATATTATTATATGTATCACATCTCCCATATTTAGAACTAACACTATTTTTCATTGTGCCTCCCACCAAACTGTTTATAACTACTCCTCTGCAAGAGATCACTCTTAGCGATAAGGTCGCCCATTGTTTTCTCACTGTGATCATTTCTTGTAATTGTTTATATTTATAATAAGTTTACTATTGTAATCTTATGGAGGGAACAATAAAGAGTATCTGTTTATCTATCTACTATATAAAAAAAAAATCATATTTTCAGTGATGTATTACATTAATGGGTGATAATGGTATAGTAACCCCGTCTGCGCTGTTGGTATACACTGGCGGGGCACCAGTAATAGATTACTGATGAGGATGAAATCAGGTCTGCTAGCCCACCCTGACGTATTCAACAAGAATTAGTCACGATGATTTCCAGAAGGAACCACGCGGAGGTCGACCTGACAGGGCATATTGCTAGCAATGGGGCTGTCAAACTCCATTGCTAACAATGCCTTTCCCCCCTGCTCAATAATTTGGTTTAACCATCAAAATGACTGTGACCTGTAAGACAAAATCTTCCAAATTAGTTTACAATTGACGCAGTTATGAAAACTTTATTAAGTCGATTGAAAAGGCCATCTTATCGCTAGGGTAACCTCTTACAAACGACCCACATTTCACTAGAATAGCTAACATGCTGTAATTTAACATTCAAAATTTTATAAAAGAAAAAGTAACTGACCTTTTTACAAATCTTGCATTTTGGTTCCGAGTACGTTGCTTTTCTCTTTTTAGTGTTTTTTAAATTCTCCCTTAATATTTCCTCCGATGGTAGCGTGGCGTTCATCTTGGCGTCCATCTTGTTTAGCTATAATGAAACAGAAATGATCTTTAATCAAATAGACTACTTTACAAACTCTTAAATCATCATAAAATGATTCTACCGCTGGGTTTTTTTTTTTTTTATTGGATGAAAATGGAATGGTTACCCCGCCTGTGCTAACGGGATACGCTGGCGGGGCACCAGTGAATGGTGATCAATGAGGATGAAGACAGGTCAGTTAGCCTATCATGATGAATTCATCTGGAATTAATCATGATAGTTTCCAGGGGGAACCGCGAGGAGGTCAACCTGGTTGGGTATATTGCTAGCAATGGGATTCTTAGTCTCCATTACTAACAATCCCTTTCCCCCCTATCTCTCTACCGCTGGGTTCAGAATGTTATCGGGCTGAGAAGAAACTGGCAAGAAACTATAAAAAAGAATATTAATTAACAAGCAGATAGAAAAAGGTATTAGACTAACTGTGAATTAATGAAAACATTTTAAATAACAACTAATAAAATACTTATTTATTTAACATTCTACAAATTTGCCCTCTCAAAAAACAGTAATTGAAATCAGTTGACAGCTGGTAAAGGTAATGAGTGAAATTTAAATATATTAACCCTGGATCAATACTTTTTTTTTTAAGAGAAGAAGACAAACTATGTCATGCTAAAATACAAAATCTTGTTTGTCAGTAAATAATGATGCACAACAATTCAAATTTGGTAAAGTTATTGAGTGCCTCCCACCAAATTGTTTATAATTACTCCTCTCCATCCACAGGTTGCCTGCAAGAGATCGCTCTTAACGATAAGGCCCCCAATTGTTTTCTCACTGTGATCATTTCTTGTAATTGTTTGTTGTATAGTATTTATATATCTTACTATGGTATGCAGGTTGTAGTGGATGTAAAATCCAAAGGCACTTGGTATAATTGAATATTTATTATTTTAAAACTATATATAAAGTGACGACGTGTTATACGTGCTGAGTGGTGGGAGCGAGAGGCTCGAACGAACGAGTCAGAATGAATGACTACTAAACATTTGTATCTATAATAAGTTTACTATTGTAATCTTATGGAGGTAACAATAAACAGTATCTATCTATAAAGTATAGAAGATATAAATCGTGGAATGCTATCATTTAAAAAAAAAATGAAAAGTTAATTTGCTATGATAAATTTGATTAACATTTTCAGTAAAATACAGAAGATACAAAACATGGACTTATATTTTTTTAAAGAGGAGGGTAGCTTGTTTTGATAAAATGTAAAATTTTGTTTTTAGAAAAGAAAAAGAAAAAAACTACTAAAGAAATAGATTTATTAATGGTAGAATACAATTAAGACTCTGTTTTTTTCTATTTCACACAACTAGAAAGTATTATTTTTATGGAAATTTGCTTTTAATTAGAATGCTAATAAACAATGGTCAGTAGGTACATTAAATATGGACTTCCATTTTACCCTAATCGATTGTTACTCCATTATAGTTATAAAGTAGTAATTATGGCATTAGGAACGGATTTTACAACACGAACAATAAATATATTGGACTTTTTTTTTTTCATATTTTTAGAGAAAAAAAAAAGTAATTTACCTCAAACATTTCGTTTTATTTTTGTTGTTATTGTGTAGATCGCAATTAAAGGAACAATATTTTTTTGAAGTGACCTAATTATTGACCATTATTTTCCTACGAATTAGCTTTTTAATAAAATGGCTATACAAAATTGAGGGTAGATTAAGTATTTTCGTACTTACCCCATCTGAATCCGCCTGCATCGTTCATGCATGAACTTTTAAATTATTATTATATAGGAATCATTATAGCATTATAGTTATTTGAAAAAAAAATTTATATGGAAAAATTCAAAAATTTATGTTGTATTCTAAAATCAGCCAGCTACCACCGCAGAAAGAAGTGCTCGTTGTCAAGTAGTAATTATTTATACTTATGTTTATGTAAAAGTAGAGTTGGCAGTAATTTTACATTGACAAAAGCCGATGTGATGTTACCATTTCAACTCAACAACATAACGATATAATGATAGATTCATTTTATATGTTGTACTAGTATTTATATATACCGAAATATATAATATTTAATAAAATAATGATAATAATATCATAATAATAATAAATAATGATAATAAGTCAACGATCAAATGTTGACAGTCACACGTATATTAATAGTAGCAGAACTAAACAAAATAATTTTAACACCTAATTAGCGCAAAATAACATTTAATTCAATAAAATAAAACTTTATTTATATTTAACTATACTAATTGTATTATTTACTCACTGGTTCAAATTTATTAAAAAGTAGTGCTAAAAACGTAGCTTCATCTTTTGATCATGTTATCCTGATAAAAAAAAAACATGTTTTTGTTTTTATAACCTAATTTAACAAAATATAAATTAAGTATTATAATACTATTTTTACAAAATTTATTGAGGAAGCATAATACGGCATTCTGCACTAGCTTTGCACTTGTAGATATATCAGATGTTTTTTTTATACCTTGGATTACGTTATCGGAACTTTCATAGTGAACTTTATATTTAAAAAAAAATAATATACAGCTTATTTTACTCGCTGATAACGTACCTTTCTATAGTTGAAAGAATTTTTTAAAATAGTTGAATAATTTTTGAGTTTACGCTTTAAAAACCAACAAACAAACCTACAAGATATCAGACATCTTTATTTTTATAACATCAGTATAGATGAAGCACTATTTTTGGAATGGCGCCATGATTCCGATCTTATATTATTAAGTCCTATTGTTATAGTATGCATTTAAGATAATCATGATGAAACACAGTTTTTTTAATATTGACTAAATATGGTAATATAACTATATACACAGAATTTTTTGAAGTGACGAGCGCCAATTTTATTTATAATTTTTATATTCCTTATGTTCAGAAATCAAACTCTACTGGCTTGTATAGACGGTTAAAAAATTGGTTTCGTTATGTACATAGATATCTAGTCTAGTATATTTATTGCAGTATAATGTCAACTATGATAACTTTTAGATATTGTTTACTATATTTAAAAAAAATTGAATTCTGCGCAATTTAATCAAGTCACTACATCTTTTATGGAGCTTTTTAAGACTTTTTTTAACACACATTATGTATATACGTTTTGATAAAAAATAAACATTTAAGCTCGCATACATTTAATATACTTTGTATTATTGAGTTAGGTAAATCTACAATGTAAGGGTAAATCTTGCGCTGTGTATTTATATATTTATTTAGACTTTATTGTACACACTGAAAACACAGAAAAATAGGACAAGGGTAAGAAACAAAGGCGAGCTTAACTTTAAATGAGTTACCTTTCAGCAAACCCAAAGTTATTTACCATAAAACAACTGGATAATTATTTAATGTTCTGTGAAATATAATATGTTAATTCATAGACATATAATAAAGAAGCAGCAAAGCTAAGTTAAAAATGTGGGAAGGAAATTTCTCTTTTTCTTACTCGTACAGTAAAATGTATATCTATCACTTTCTCTTTCTTTCACGTGTGCACAATTTTTTTATAAGAAAACTCTGCCTAAAACTGCCGTGCAATGACAGGACCGTAGTGACTTAATCTGTGGAAAAGAACCTAACAAACATGATTGGTCCAAAGATTTCAGAATACCCTTTATCGACTTTGACATAGTCTCTCTGAACTATATTTCGCTTGTCGCCATTTTGATAAGCTACACATGCTGCGTACATAAATTATATTAAAAACTGAAAATTTTGTGAATTTCATTATACTGAGAATTTATATAAAAAAAAAGACGAAAATGGTAAAATGCAGTGCCTACTTGTGTAATAGTATAACTTATGGAAATATACCGGACATAACTTTTCATCGGTATGTGTCTTTTTTATGTCAACCTACTATATATTGCAGAAATAAGAAAAAAAAATACGCGTTCCTAGAGTGTTTATTTGCAAATGATCATTAGATATATTCATGAAACAATATACATGAAACATTATTATATAGACATTAAAATAAGTCCCAGAAATGTTTGATTTATATTAATTACAGATGATTTTGACATTTTATCTACCTACATAATTTTATAAAGTGAAACCGGCTTAAGTTCTTTGACGTTTAATTGTAATTAACGATATCTATTAGAAAAAAAATTTGTTTTTTTTTCTAGGTTCCCAAAAGACCAACGATTATGCAGCAGATGGGTTTCCAATATGGGATTAAAAAATTGGAAACCAACCAAAACTTGTGTGCTGTGTTCGAAACATTTTGAAAAGCATTATATTGATAAAAGTATTTTTCGAACTCGTTTACGACCTGGTGCAGTACCGACTTTGTTTGAAACTTTGCCAGAGTCATCTGAAGTAAGTGACAAGTATTTTTCATTATCCTGTTCTATTCGTCATCATCATCAAATCAGCCTTTAATTGTCAACTGCTGAATATAAGCCTCCCCTTTGGGGGTTTTTTTTGATGGGTGAAAATGGTATGGTAACCCCGCCTGCGCTAACGGGATACGCTGACGGAGCACCAGTGAAGGGTGATAGATGAGAATGAAAACAGGTCAGTTAGCCCATCATGATGAATTCATCAGGAATTAACCATGATAGTTTTCAGGGAGAACCGCGAGGAGGTGGACCTGGTTGGGTATATTGCTAGCAATAGGATTCTCAGTCTCCATTACTAACAATCCCTTCCCCCTACTCCCCTTTAGGGGGTTTGCCAGTAGTTGCCACGCTTGGCAGGAGAATTGGCAACCGCGGTCAATCTTTGGAGATGTTTTAAGAGGGACTGCCTTTTACTACTATTTTTTTAATACATGAAGATTGAATGATAACCCCGCTTGTGTATCGGTATACGCGGGTTGGCTACTAGTGAAGGGTGACAGGTGAAGATGAATGCAGGTCAGTTGGCTCAATTGAACAAGAATTATCCACTGTGGTTTCTAGGGGAAACCATGTAAAGGTCGACCTGATAGGTTGTATTGTTAGCAATGGGGCTGCAAAATCTCATTACTAACAATCCCTTTTTCTATTACTTTCTATTATCATATGTGAAACTTTGTAGGAATAGGTGAATGTTTGAACGAATGAATGAATACACTTTATTTGCGTTATACTATATAGGGAATAAGCGAGACAATTAATAAATATAATGGTACAGTTGTAGCACAGTAAAGAAGGTTTACTGCTGAGAGCAATCTTTGTTACTCTTTTGCATAAAAACTTCTAAACAGATTTGAATGAAATTCAGTGTATGAGAAGGCTATATCCGAACTTAGCACATGATATTTTATCTATTAACTCATGCAGGAGTAGCTGTGCAATATAGGGAGTTTAAAATAATACTTATTAATTTTTAAATTCTGGATCTAGGTTTGTAAGTTTATACTATAGTGTGGTAAACAAGATTACAGCTCGTCTAATGGTAAACAGTCACTGTAGCCTATGGACACTTGCAACACTAGGGAAGTCACGTCTAGAGTCTTAGTGTCCATATTTATTTTAACCAATATTTACAATAACAGTGAAAACTGTAAAGCAAATTATTTGCAATGTAATAAAAGTTTTGTTAAGTACATATTTAGATAAATAATAAATTGTGTTTACAGATGAAAAAAAAGAAGAGGATGCAAAGGAAAAGTGACACAACTGGTGAATGTGTTTCCATCCTTCATAATTTACAAAACATTGAACCACAGCTGTCCACATTGCAACAGAAATCTGTTAGCAGAAATACTGTCGTACAAAATTTATGCAAACTAGACAATAAAGTTACAACACCGAATGTGGCATGTGATACGTGTATAAATGGACTGAAAAGAGAAATTGTTTTTAAAAACAAAATAATTAAATCACTCCGAGACAAAAATAAAATATTGACGAAGAGGATTGCTTATTTTTATAAAGTTATAATTGTTTTACAAAATAAAAAATTAAAAGACAGGGATATACCAATTCTAAATAATCTAGGATTTTATAAATAATAATTGGGATCACCCCAAGCTAAGAATAAAAAATCACCTTTAGAAAATTATATTCACCAGAACTAGGTGGTACAAAAATCTATGTGCCATAACCTAGGGTTTAAATTGCAATTGTCTATTCAATGGAGTCAGTAGGAGAATGTTTTAAAGAGTTAAATATCCTCACAGTTGTGATAACATATATTCGTTTTTGCAAACGATCCACCATTGTCTAACATATATCACGAGTTAATATTTGTAATAAAAAAATGTTATTTTATTCTTAATTGTTGAATGAATAAAATTATGCAATGATTATAAATTAATTTTTTTTATTGAGATTAACAGTTTTATTTTTTGTTATTTTATCATTATATCTGAATTGGCTGAGAGAATTAAGATTATGATTAGACGAGTTTATAAATGATATTATTTGTAAATATATGTTATTTTATGTTATATATATATATATATATATATATATATATATATATATATATATATATATATATATATATATTAGCGGTTTCATTATTTTAATATATTTTTATATATATATATATATATTACATTGTTAATGCATTTATAAATATTGTGAGCAAGGGTGGACTTATCTTTGACAGAGATCTCTTCCAGTCAACCCAATGCAGTTAGAAAGCATGTCGTTAGCGGGCAGCTGAAGTACTACAACTATTAATACATAAACAAATATACAGTTAAATAAAATATTTTACAGTATAATATATGGATACTGCAACTGTTATGTAGGATGGTATTATTTAAATTTGGCTGTGACGTGGTTGGCAGCCTTGAGTAAGTCATGCTCACTATAATGTGCACACAAGTGGCGGCGTGGTAGGTCAGGTTATGGTTGAGTACAGTGATGGCTGGCTCATCCGTCATACTCGTGAACGGGTACTCCCTGTAGGGCTGGGCTGCTCTGGTTACTGCAACTGATTTATTGTTTTGTATTAATTATATACTAAATTTATACCCTAAATTTTATGATCTGATACTGCTTAATAGTTTGTATTTACACAAATTCATTATTTATGTAATTTTTTTTTTTGATGGGTGAAAATGGTAAACCTTCCTAACTTGAATACACTATTAAAAATAACCAGTGAAGGGTGATAGATGAGAATGAAAAAGAGTTAGCCCATCATGATGAATTCATCAGGAATAAACCATGATTGTTTTATAGGAGTACTGATGATTTGGACCTAAATTTTATGATCTGATACTGATTAATAGTTTGTATTTACACAAATTCATTATTTATGTAATTAGACTTTATAAAAAAAACAACAGTTGAGTTTCTTGCCCGTTATTGGCTGAAATTGTGTTCCGAATGTGCGGTAATGAAAAAATTACTATTTAAAAATGCTTAAATCTAAGTTTAATTGAATAAAAATATTTCTTTTTATCTATCTATTTTTCAATGTGTGTACCTTGTAGTGGAAAATATTTTCAAATATAATAATATATTATTCCGTCCCGGCTTATATATTGCGGCAGCTTCAATTAAGTTTCGTATGAAGATAGCGACCGACTGCGCCCGCATCGCTTTGCAGTGCGGCTAACTTCGTTGTGATATGCGTTTATCACGTACCGTACTCATTCATTCAAAATCTTATTTGTATTTTTATAGATATTTTTATAGATGAGTATGCGGCTCACCTTATGGTGACTACCGCCGCCCAATATAATAATATATAGCAGTAGGTTTCAGGAACTACTAATCTTCCTAGCTAGGTTTTATTTTTAGAAATCTTTGGAAAACTTTTGGAAAAATTGGAAAATGTTTTCAGACTGAAAATTTGCTTAAATGTCATTAGATTTTGATGAGTTTTGGTAAGCTATTTAATCTCTTATGATTACTTTTTTTTTAATTTTTATATTAGGCTTTACCCACTTCTTTATCTGCGTGACTGAGATACGTTCACGATCGGGAGAAAAAGCCTATAACGCTCTTCGGGAGTCCCATCTATTTCTATATCAAAATTTATCATAATTGATTCAGTGGTTTAGACATGAAAGCGTAACAAACAAATTTACTTTCATTTACAATAATAGATAAGGATATCTGTGTCTGTGGAATTTTAGAAAAAAACAAATTGTTATCAGAAGCCGTCAGTCAAAACACCGATACGTCAATATGTCGTCATGTCAGTTTGAGTGATTTTGATAATCACGCGGTGTACGCATGCGCGGTTCGTTTAATCAGCTGGTTTTTAATTTATTTTTTTTTAAATAAAAATATTATTTTCTACAAACAAACGTGTCCCTATTAGCTTCGAATAGTGCAATATTGTAATTCTATTAAGTGAACTTGCGGTGCGACGCACTGTGTTTGCCCTTGAATTTGAACTTCTAACCTTGTTGTGTAATTGTTGAAAAGTCATCGAGTTGTATTTTTATTGGTAAGTATGTACTAATTAAAAATTACAATTATTCTTTATTACACATTATATGGTAAGCAGGTAGCTTTAAATCCTTCTCACTTTATCAATATGTACTCCACTGTATAGTTACTTGTTTATGTATGTTATTGTTTATTATTTATTTTTTTTCTGTTTTTTTTTTTTTATATCAGTCGAAAGTTTAAAAATATCTTGTTCAGATTATGACATCATTTCGTATCTATCATGCATTTAAGTATGTAATCTTTAAGTTGTATGTAATATTACATAAATATCGTATGAGTAACAAAGCTAAGCTGTTTATTGCTTTGTCATTAAAAAAATGCATGGGTTATTACCTTATATTAAAAAACGCTGGCGGAGCACCAGTGAAGGGTAATAGATGAGAATGAAAACAAGCCAGTTAGCCCATCATGATGAATTCATCAGGAATTAACCATGATAGTTTCCAGGGAGAACCGCGAGGAGGTGGACCTGGTTGGGTATATTGCTAGCAATGGGATTCTCAGTCTCCATTACTAACAATCCCTTTCCCCCCTATTACCTTACATTAGCACATACAATTGCTTACATAAAACTGTATGTTACATTTAATTGTACACATTAATTGTACACAGTTAATTGTTGTATTTTCCCATTACTGAATTCCTAGGTTAGACTAATTTAGAAAAATAAACTTTTTTTTAATTAGTTCATTGGATCCTGTACTCTAGATGTTATTTATTTTATTTATGTGAGTGTAAATTTGTGTATAATACAGTTGCTATTCAATTTTTTTTTTCAGTAATGGTGTAAGAGGCAAAGGAAAACAAAAATGATCAAAACATCAAGAAGTAATCCTATAAAATTATTTAATTTATGGAGGAGTATTAATTTAATTAATAAAAGACATAAATGCTTATGCGTGAACAGTATTATCACTAAGAAATATTTGAATACATTGAAAGAATATGAAAACCAAAGATTTTTTAAACATATTAGAGTGCATTCAACAAGCAGTGATTCTCATAGACAAAAAGTTGTCATAGAGACAACAACTCCTAAGATAGTTATAAACAAAGTGTTGCCAGATAAAGAAATTATAGACAAAAAGGTAGATTTTAGAAGTATTATCGATCCTTATGTAAAATTAGCCAGATGGGATAGGCCTATAGGTAAGATATTATTATAAATTTAACTGTTAATTAGAACTAGTTATATAAAAGAGTACAGCAACATATTTGTATTTGAGATGTATGTATGTGATTACCATTTTATACTAAAATTTTTTTTTTTAATTGCCTTTGAGTATCTTCACACAGTCTAAAGGTTGACTGGTAGAAAATGCCTAAATCCACCTTTTGTATCATATTATATTGGTCAATAAAGTTTAAATAAATAAATATCCATAAGAGATTATTTCCTCTATTACTCTAATTGTCTATTGCTTCCCTCATAAGACTGCAATGAGGAATGGTCATATCTCACCTATATACAATGTTTACTAAGTTGGACATTCAGCATATAACAGAAGAAAGTCTGTCACATACTTTCCATATAGTCCTGGAGACCATAATGTATGAATGTTTTTAATGGCTGAAAAGGAACTGGCAACCCCGCCTACACTATCAGTATAAGCTGATACCAATAAGGGAAAATAGGTGGGGATGAAAGCAAGTCAAAAACAAACACAAGAGGTTTTTAAAATAATATTTTCACACCTATTGTTCTCATTAAGAGTCTATGTATCTATGTCATCTATGTATACTTATAATAAATCTGTAGAGAGGTCAATTCTGTACATGAAATATATTTCCAAAATAACTATCAGCGGGTGATTAGTGATCGATACTGACGCCAAAAATGCAATCAGAAAAATTTTTGTCTGTCTGTCTGTCTGTCTGTCTGTATGTATGTTCGTTATAGAAACAAAAACTACTCGACAGATTTAAACGAAACTTGGTACAAATATTCTTCATACTCCTGGGCGGGTTATAGTATACTTTTCATCACGCTACAATCAATAAGAACAGAGTACTGAAGGGAAATGTTGGGAAAACGGGAAAAGTTACTCAATTTTTAAGCTTCCGTTGCGTCTGCAGCTTAATGGCCACTTTTTAAAATGTAAAAATGTCTACCCATGCGACGCCGGGACGGGCCACTAGTGTATAAATAAACCTCTAATATATAAGCTTTTCTTTAATATTTCTTATTTTATATAATTTCCAGGTGTATACCTCCTCTTTTGGCCCTGCTCCTGGTCGATAGCGTTGGCCTCCATCCCTGGCAATGTACCATTACAGACCACCTTGCAGACCGCCGGTCTGTTCCTCCTTGGTGCTGGCCTCATGAGAGGAGCTGGTTGTACCATAAACGATCTCTGGGACAGAGATGTGGATGCTCAGGTGAGGATGCCTACAAGTTTTTACTTGAAAAATATTGTACAAATGTCATCTACTTGGGTACCTTTGGGTCATTCTTCTTTGATTTATAGATAAAAATAGAATGGTAACTCTGCTTGCTCTATCACTATACTCTGGTGAGGTTCTATTGATGATGGATCCTCACCAGATCTCAGTGATGTCACTCACCAATCCAGATGAGAAAGAAACCAGGCCTTCTGAACAAGTGTCAAGTGAATTCCTCAACAATAGAATGGATGTAGTTAGCAAGTCCATATATATAGGATGAGATTGCAATGTTGGTTTTTTTTTTTTATTTTATTTTTATTTTTATACAACTTAGAATGGCAAACAAGCTGACGGCCCACCTGATGGAAAGTGGTAACTGTCACTTATAAACATGAACAAACTAAGGACATAACAGAGTATACTGTTTCGTCCATGATATCCCCCATGCGTTTCTATTCCTGAGGACTCGGATGTTATTCCTCTTTATCCAGTAAATTCATGCCATATCCCACCCTTAAAACCGAAACACATCCATGCAAACACAACTGTTTCACGGTAGAAACACGAATGGAACACAGGTGCCCAAGCAAACGACTTTTGTACAAAGTCTCCCTCTGTTAATCTTTATAAACTGTATCATTTATTGAAGGAAACAATAAAGTCTTCATTTCTTCTTTAAGAAATAATTCTTGTAAGAAACAATTACAATGGTAGCCTGCATTTTGGTTGTATTTCTTTAAGAGAGGGACTGGCTGAAAACCAGCGTTGTGCAGCTGTTCACATTGCGCTGGGACACTCGCAGCATCAGCTGAGCCGGTTCTTTTGCCTAGTACGGGACACTTCTTGTATATGTATTTTCTATATTCTACATTGTCATAGTGTGTTTACTGGCGATACATGTTTTCTATTCCATTCATTCTTTCATTCATCTTTTCAGGTGGAAAGGACCAAAGATAGACCTCTAGTTTCGGGGGCTGTGAGTAGCAAGCAAGCAGTCGCGTTCTTAGCCGCTCAGCTCAGTCTGGCACTGGGTGTTTTGTTGCAGCTAAACTGCTACAGTGTTGTATTAGGGGCGAGCAGTATGCGTAAGTGTTTTTTGCATCTAATTTTTAGGGTTCCGCACCTGTATAGGAAACATCGGAACCTTTATAGGATCACTTCGTTGTCCGTTCGTTCGTCTGTCAAAACCCTTTTTTTAGGAACGCTTGTAGGTATCAAGTTGAAATTAATATCGTATACTCAGGTCTGCGATCTCTTAAAGCAGTGAAAAAATCAAGCTTCTAAATCGACGTAACCAAAAGATACGGCCGTTTATGTACCATTTATATCGCATATTTTGACATTCGCAAAGGAAATCAAAACAAAAAAAAATGTGGCAAGACGCAATGTCACGTAGCACAAGTAAAGGGGGAAATCTGAAAACTGTAAATTTGTAATTATTTAAAAAAAAAATAACTTGATATATTTGTACGAAACCCTTGTTGCGCGAGTTCGACTCGCACTTGACCTGCTTTTTTATGTAATTTTAGTATAGCAAATAAGCTGACGGCCCACCTGATGGAAAGTGGTAACCGTCGCCTATAGACATGAGCAGTATCATGGACATAACAGAGTACACTGTTTCGCCCATGACACCCCCATGCGTTGCCATTTCTGTGGACTCAGGTGTTATTCCTCTGTACCCTGTAAATTCACGCCATATCCCACCCTTCAAACCGAAACACAGCCATGCAAACACAACACAAATGACACAAAGGTATCCAAGCAAACGACTTTTGTACAGTCTCCCTCTGGTAAGTCTGGTAAGTCTCTCTCTGGTAATCTTTAACGGTGGACAGATAACGGCTGCTGTGATATGGTGATGGTGATACCTCTATCACCATGATTCACGTTAGTTATTACACTCTGTTTCAGTTCTAGTAGTGACGTACCCACTAGCGAAGCGGTTCACCAACTACCCGCAAATATTTCTCGGCGCGACGTTCAACTGGGGTGCGCTGTTGGGGTACTCTGCGGTCCAGGGTACCCTGGTGCCCGAGATCTGCCTGCCGCTGTACTGCGGCGCACTCGCTTGGACAGTGGTCTACGACACCATATACGCTCACCAGGTTGGCACAATATGTCGTAATATTATATTTTTTTGTACAGCCTCGAATGGTAAACAAGCTGACAGCCCATCTGATGGTACGTGGTTATTTTTTATGGGATGGTAACGGAATGGTAACCCCGTCTGTGTCCCCGTATGAGTATACACTGACCAGTGAGGGATGATAGGTGAGGATGAAAAGGCAGGTTAGTTGGCATGTCGTGATGAATACACCTGGAATTCAGCACGATTGTTTCCAGGCGGGACCATGTGGAGGTTGACCTGGTTAGGTATATCGCTAGCAAATGGGGCTCTTAGTCTCCATTGCTAACAATCCCTTCACTCCAATTTATTCTATTAGTTTCTATTTCGTTCCACTCTGTTCTATTCTACAGGATAAATTTGATGACGCCCGAATAGGCATGAAGTCGACAGCACTAACCTTCGGTGCTCACACGAAGCCAGCTTTGTTCGCCTCGCTGACCGCCAGTGTGGCGTGCCTAGCATACGCCGGGACGGCTGCGCAACTGGGACCCTTGTACTACGCCGCGCTGGTGGCATATGGTGCTCATGCAGGTAGACAGGTCAGTATGGATGACAGAGGGAGGGTAACCACGTCTGTGCTCTTGGTTTATACTGGGGAGGTACTATTGATCCTTATGGTGGCCACCAGTGAGGTTAAGGTATTCTATTATGGGTGAAGATGGAATGGTAACCCTGCCTGCGCTATCGGTATACGCTGGCATTGTACCAGTGAAAGGCGACAGGTGAGGATGAAGGCAGGTCAGTTGGCGTATAGTGATCAATTGAACAAGAATTAACCACTATGGTTTCCAGAGGGAACCGCGTGGAGGTCGACCTGATAGGGTATATTGCTAGCAATGGGGGTATTAAATCTCATTATTAACATTCCTTTCCCCCAGTTCCCCTATTGTTAAATGGATGATAATGGAATGGTAACCCCGCTGGAAGAGCACCAGTGAGGGAAGATACGCGAGGATGAAAGCAGAGAGCCTACCATGAAATATTTTGCGAATCTTCGGGCACGAACGAAACAGAAATATGATGATAAAATTATATAATACATGCCGTTTAAAAATATTAAAATATCGTTCCTCTGCACTATTAGGATAGGATTTATGATAAACAAAATGTTAAGCTCCATTTACTGGGATGATTTCGGTAGGAACAAAAACACGAAATTGATCGCGAAAATTCGGGATTTCATTTCATGGTAGACCACCAGGTCAGTTGACCCATCGTGACGAATACACCTGGGATTCAGCACGATGGTTTCCAGAGGGGGACCTTGTGGAGGTCAACCTGACAGGGTATATTGCTAGCAATAGGACTGGTAGTCCGCATTACTAATAATCCTTTCCCCCCAAGGTACACTAAATGGACGTAAATGGAATCTTAGCGTTACGACTCGCGTTATTGCTTTACATTGGACGAATAAATACTAATGACATTAGGGTATTATTAATTGTTATAGTGGGGGTTTTATTGAACGTTGTAGGGGTTGTACTATTGATCATTATGGCGGGGGTACTATTGGTTGTTTTGGCGGGGGTATCGACGATCCTTTTCGCGTGTAGTAATAATTCTTTTGGCTGGTACTAATGATCTTTTTGGGGGGCAATGATCCTTTTAGCAGGGTACTATTCATCATTATGGCTGGGGTACCAATGATTCTTTAGGCGGGGGTACCAATGATCCTTTTGGCGGGGTACTAATGATCCTTTTAGCCGGGTATTAATGATTCTTTTGGCGGGTACTAATGATCGTTTTGGTGGGGGTACTAATGGTCTTTTTGACGGGGGTACTAACGGTCCTTTGGTAGGGGCACTAATGGTCCTTTGGATCTTTTTGGGGGGCACTAATGATCTTTTTGGTGGGGGTACTAATGATCTTTTTGGTGGGGGTACTAATGATCTTTTTGGTGGGGGTACTAATGATCCTTTTGGCGGGGTACTAATGATCCTTTTGGCAGGTACTAATGATCCTTTTGGCGGGTACTAATGATCCTTTTGGCGGGTACTAATGATTCTTTTGTTGGGTTACTAATGATCCATTTGGTGGGGTACTAATGATCCTTTTGGTGGGGGTATTAATTATACTTTTGGTGGGGGTACTAATGATCCATTTGGTGGGGGTACTAATGATCCTTTTGGCGGTTACTAATGATCCTTTTAGCGGTGGTACTAATGATCCTTTTGGGATACTATCGGTCGTTTTGGCGGGGGTACTATTGGTCATTGTAGTGGGGGTAGTTAGTATAGTACCTTAATTAAAGACTAATTCTTTTATTTTATTTTTTCAGATATACACTTTGGACCCAGATAATCCCACCGATTGCGCCAACAAGTTTAAATCCAACTCATTGGTTGGGCTTATAATTTTACTGGGGATTTTAGGAGGTGGTTACACCCAATACAAGAGCAACAGAGAGAAGTATAGAGGTAAAGAAGATTTGACTGTAGCAAAAAGCTGTGTCTTTAGTTGAATCTATTGTGATGTTGAGTTTCTTAGTGGTTTATGCCGTGGTAAAGGAGGTATGGCTTGTTTTAATATACATAGACTTTTTTAATTATGATATAGGAATGGTAACCCCGCCTGCGCTATCGGTATACGCTGGCGGTGCACCAGTGACGGATGATAGGTGAGGACAAAAGCAGGTCTTTTTTTAATGGGTGATAATGGAAGGGTAACCCCACCAGTGCTACCGGTATAAATCGGCGGGGCACCAGTGAAGGATGATAGGTGAGGATGAAGCAGGTCAGTTAGGCGATAGTGACGATATCAACAAGAATTGTTCACGATGGTTTCCAGGAGGAATCACGTGGAAGTCCACCTGATAGGGCCTAATATTGTATATATTGCTAGCAATGGGGTTGTCAAACTCCATTACTAACAATCCCTTCCCCCCAGATACAGGGATTGGCGCGATATTTGTTGTATTATTAAACTTTGATTTTCATTAGCCGACTATAAGATTCTCCGCTGATGTCCAATCAAACAACAATCAGTTGATTTTCTTTTTTTTTATACCACTGAGGTGGCAAACAAGCATACGACCCACCTGATGGTAAGTGGTTACCGTAGCCTATGAACGCCTGCAATACCAGAGGTATTACGCGTGCGTTGCCGACCCTGAAGAAACCTCTTTACCCCCCTTTTGAAGAACCCCATGCTGTAGTCACTTGGGCAAACCTCGGCAGGGAGCTCATTCCACAACCTGAGTGTTCGTGGGAGAAAACATCTCTGAAACCGCGCAGTACGCGACCATTGAGGCTGTAGGACATGAGGATGAACTCCCTGTCGATGGCGAGCCGTACGATGGTAGAAAGTGGCTGTGGGCATCATATTGAACAATTCCTCTGAGCATAATCCGTTGTACAGGCGGTAGAACACGCAGAGTGAGGCAAAATCTCTCCTTTTGAGGTTTTACTAATTCAGAAAGCGTTCCCGTGATGATTTCAACAAAATTTGGTTACATTTATATTAAACTATATTGAAACAGACTACCTGCATTGTTCTGTCAAGTTTATTAATTTATATATTATTATTATTTGTTTTTATGCAACTTAGAATGGCAAACAAGCTGACGGCAAGTGGTAACAGTCGCCTATAGACATGAGCAGTACCATGGACATAACAGGGTATACTGTTCCGTCCATGATACCCCCCATGCGTTGCCATTCCTGAGGACTCAGGTGGTATTCCTCTGTACCCTGTAAATTCACTACGATATCCAATCCTTCAAACCGAAACACAGCCATGCAAACACAACTGCTTCACGGTTGAAACACGAATGGGACAGGGGTACTCAAGCAAATGACTTTTGTACAAAGTCTCCATCTGGTAAATGTAAACTTTAGATTTACCAAAACTATCCTAGTGTTGCATTGATGAAGCATTAGACAATTGGCTATAATTTTAAGATGTGTTTGGTTTTAAGAGGTCTGTGGGGTTACGTTTTATCTAGATTTATTCTAATTGCCGTGTATATTTTGGATGTACAGCGGTAATATTATTGTAAAATGTTGATTTTATTAAAAAAAAATATACAAACTTGTGTCAAGTTTGTATAGTGTAGGAAATTACATTTTTGTATGGAAATTTGGAATTTAAATATTTATTATAATTTATTTGTTGTATGGTGTAATGGACTTCATAGATGGTCATGCGTCTTGAATCAATATTAAGAGGTGCTCTTTATTGTTCCTTCCAAAAAAATATAGTAGTAAACTAATTAAAAACGAAAAGTATAAACAAAATACTAGGGATATTAATGAAGTTTTAATCGCAATAAAAAAGATCTCCTTGGAACAATTTTTTTCCAAACAATAAATGCAGAACAGAGACGGAAATGCTCTATCTTCCTTGTCATACAACCTGCAATAGATATGTGCTTGATTTAACCTGCTTGATCGTCTAAGGACTCCTTATTAATGTTAAGATATATTCATATTTATTAATTTTCAAAGCGGAAATAGTATCAATAAGATCAAAAAAGAATAGTATTGAATTTTCTGGAATTCTATGTCTTTGACATTTCTATTCCTAATTTGATTGTATTATGACCGTTTATATGCATTTAATTTTTCGTTTAATAAATACAAAATATTGTTTTATAAAATGTTATTTATTATATCATAATAATAATATTTAAAATTGTGTTAAAATTGTCAGACATTTGGTAAATACAATGACTGTTCCTTTAAACAAGTGTCAAATAAATTGCGATAATATGAGAGAAAAGTTATGAACTGATTTGGAAAATTCTATTTTTATATGAAAGCATATACTTACGGATTAATCTATTAGAAATTTAAAAAAAATCCCTTCAGTAGTTTAATTTAATTGGTTTTGCCAGAATTGAAGTTGAATCTTTTGTGAACCACAATGTTAAATTATTGTTTTTTACGCTTGCAAATAGATTAGTTTGCTACTTGTTTACGGGAGCTAGTTCGACTGTATAATTATGACACGTTTGTCTTCATAGTATAAGCGTTAGACCAAAAAAAAAAAAGAATGAAACAAGATGGCGATGTTTCCCGCCAATTTAGTACTAGTGCTGTGAACCCTGTGCGTTGTCAACTAAATTTCGAATATGTAATTATAGATTTATTAGTTTTTTTTTTTTTTTGTATTATTATAATATTGTTGTTCCTAGAATTTTGTATTTTATTATAAATAATTGAAAATATAATGTACATAGGCAGTGTGAGTTAGAGAATTCAAAATTGGGGTTATAATTTTTTAAATGTAGATATCAGGGACTGACGCAAAAATCCAATGTATACGGCTGCTGTAGTGCAAATCAATCTTAACAACAATAATAAATATTTACATGCATAATAATTATTGTAAATTTTTTTTTTCGTTTTTTATTATTTTCAATCAAACACCAGATTGAATTGATCTTAACTGAACCCAATTTTTTTACAAAATCTTGCCAAAATCATTAAAAAAATTCCTAACCAGTAATAAAATGCGAAGTTGTATAAATTTTGTGGTACAACACCGTGTGCGTAACCTAAGCTTGAGAGTTGTCAACTTGTCATACAAAATCAGTTTTGTATGAGTATGTATGGTTGATGTATTGTTAACACGTGTACGTCTAGTCAATTGTATGTAATATGGTTTCGATTAAATAAATTGATGAATACACTTGCTGTTTTATTTTTTAATCACTTTAAAAAAAAAAATATTTTTCTTGATGAATTTTCAATGGATGACGATGGAATGGCAACCCCGTTTACAGTATACGCTGGTAATTGTTAGTATAGATAACCTCAATGGTAAAAATATTAATTCTTTTTCATTATTGACAGTCTATTGAAGTTCGCTTGTTTACTAATGAAACTTGAGGACCGATGTCTTTTTCCTTATATATTATTTTATTTATCATTCTCCAACAGTAATCTTGTGGTCCTTTAATAAGGTGTTCCGAATTAGGGAACTTAACGGTCAAGGGTATGAACTTGGACCAAATCAAATCATATTTATTCGCTCGCTACATGGTACAATAAGAAGTTACATACATATACATGCACATAACATGCAGCACCCCGCAGAGGTATGAAAATGTTAAAATGGTATCAAGTCTACATTATATTACAATTATACAGTCCAAACATTCTCCAAATTACAATATTCTTTATGTCAAATCTAATATATAAAATTCTCGTGTCGCGGTGTTTGTTACCAAACTCCTCCGAAACGGGTTTACCGATTTTCATGAAATTTTGTGTGCATATTCGGTAGTTCTGAGAATCGGCCGACATCTATTTTTTATACCCCTCAATGATAAGGGTGACCCATCCCTAATTTTTTTTTTTTATTTTCTTGACAATTTTTTTTATTTTTATTTAAATATGATTTAGCATTGAAAAATACATACAACTTTAAATTTTCACCGTTTTACGATCAACGCCTGTATTTTAATCGCGATTTTTATATTTTGCAATAAGTGGTAAAACAACGTTTACGGGGTCAGCTAGTTAATACATTACGTCAAAAGACGTTATAAAAAAAAATACAAAAAATTTAATAAAAATTACATTTTTTGCCATTTAAATATTCAATAACTTTGTAATAGCATTTTTAGTACCACGTGTAGTTATCACTCCAATTTTAATATAATTACCACTAGTGGTGGCCTTTTCTATGCCGAAATGAGAGTCGTCTAAGGGAGGGCGAGGGATGGGCAGCAGCGTCCCCCTCAAGACATCTTTAAATGCGGTTGCCAAGCGTGGCAACTACTGGCAAAACTGCCCATACGGGGAAGGCAGTTCAGAAGTGGCCAGTGAACGGCTGAAATAATTTATCACTAGCGTTCCGGCCCGTCTTCGCATGGGTTTGAAAAACAATTTTTGAAAATAACCTATATCACCTCTGCAGGTGAAGGGTTTTTTTTTAAAAATCATTCGAGTCTCTCCGTTACAAACAAACGATCAAATCTTTCCTCTTTATTTTATTAGTATGTCATATGTACCTCACGAATATTTTTAATGGATCCTGCATGATTCACGACGACGAATCAATAAAATATTTTTATATTTTATTGATTCGTACTCGTAAAATTCGCTATTTTTATTGAATCCTACCATTATATTTATTTATTTAACTCTTGATTGAAACGTAAACATAAAAATAAAAAATGACATATAAACAACTCAAGTGAAATACAATAGCATGGTGGTTAAAATATACATATTAAAAAAGGCGGGTAAAAAGTATAACTGTATATATATATATTTGTTAAGGAAAAAAGATAAATTATTAGAACTGTTGAGGACAGAAGGGGAAAAATGTTGGGACACTTGATACGACACGACGAACTTATGAACATTATAATAGAAAGTAAGATAGAAGGGAGGAGGGGGAGAGGGAGACCGAGACATAGTTACATCAGGCAGATCAAGGAAGCAGTTGGTGTCGTGTCGTATCAAGAGGTGAAGAGACTCGCTGACAATCGTAGTGAGTGGCGAGAGCTCCACCGACAAGAGAGCAGCTCTTAAATGGATAGATATTTGTGTAATGCCATATGAAGAGAAAAAAAACTATATTTTTATCTGCTCGCCTGTCTGTCTTTATATTTGTTCTGGCGTTACGCAAGACCTACTGCTCCAAATTGGCTACAAAATTAGTTTTTTTTGTTTTTGGCGAATGCACTTTGTGCCGTGCCATATGAAAGGATTTTTTTTTTATACTACAGAGGTGGCAAAGAAGCATACAGCCCGTCTGATAAACGGTCACTGTAGCCTATGGACGACTGCAACGCTAACGGTGTCACGTGCGCGTTGCCGACCCGGAACAAACCTTAATATAGCCTTTTTGAAGAACCCCATACTGTAGTGAAGTTGGTTTGTCGTGATATTGGCAACTTCGCCTGCACTATCCTCACCTAACACTGCTCACTGGGGGGAAAGGGATTGTTAGTAATGGAGACTAAAAATCCCATTGCTAGCTATATACCCAACCAGGTTGACCTCCTCGTGGTTCCCCCTAGAAACTATCATGGTTAATTCCTGATGAATTCATCATGATGGGCTAACGCCCGTTTTCATTTTCATCGATCACCCTTCACTGGTGCTTCGCCAGCGTATCCCGTTAGCGCAGGCGGGGTTACCATACCATTTTCACCCATTAAAAAAAAAACACTCCTCACTGGCGTCCCGCCAGCGCATAGCGGTAGCACAAGCAGGGTTACCATTCTAGTTTTACTGATAATGGAAAATATAGTATAATTGCAGAATTTGTTTTTATGTAACATTAGAAAAAATATAATTAAAAATATTTCATTTGCCTTAACATTAAAAGTATAATAAAAAATAATAATAAATACAAACGTAAAAAGGCAATTAATATCTAAACAAAAAGTATATAAAGGTAGCCAGTATGAGGAAGTTGTTGGTGCTTGCTGAACTGTCGACCAGTCAACGTTTCTTCAATACCTGCTCATTCTTCAAAAATGAAACGAATCACTTTGCTCGTTCTCTTCGTCTACATGACGGTAAGAAAATTTTATTTTTCATACATTTTTTTACGTTTGTTACCTCATGACTCTGTCAGTTATAAATTTGAAAAATTGGAAAATTCTTATGTACTTATAGATTTGTCCCATACAAACATTATCAAAATCGGTTCGGTGGTTGGTTTTTAAATCAAAATTACAGGTTTTTCCACAACTGAAGCGGTTTTTTTGTGATCTGGAAAACATTGTTTAGCCCTTACCGCCATCTATCGAGTCCATTTTTAAGAAATTTCAAATTTCTAATCGTAATAATACGATTAGAAATTTGAAATATTATATACATATACCTAGTCCAGCCATAAGATTCAATAAAAAATATTCGTAAAGTATATATGACACACTAACAATATAAAGAGAAAAGATTTGATCGTTTGTTTGTAAAGGATAGACTCAAAAATTACTTAACCGTTTTTGAAAATTCTTTTATCTATAGAAAATTACATTGTTATAGGTTCAGCCATAAGTTTTGTTACAAATGAAAATGCATTTTATTTATAAAGTAATGTATTACACTATTGAGCACAAGCACTGTAAAAGCAAAACTAAAAAAAGTACGAGTATACGCAGTATAACGACTCACGCACAGACAGACCGGCAATGCAATCATAAAAACAAGACGAAAAAACGATTGCATTAGTTCCGAATAACTTTACTCACACTGCCGCCAAATCCTTTTCGAGCTTATTGTGTGAAATTCAATGTCTTACTTGTTTATCTCACTCTAACATATGTGTTAATATGTTTTTCGTTTCTCTCACATTCTCAATTTATATTTTCAATACAAGTGTTGACGTGACATAACTTTTTTCTCCCCAGATGTGTACAGCGGAGGATTCAACATGGCCAGGCGACGGTGGAAGCAACGGTAAAGATAATTGTGGAGACATCGACAATGACAAACATAATGGCGGAAACGTCGACCATTATGATCACAAAGACTATAATAATGGCGATGGTGAACACTGCGATGCTGACAATGGCGAAAACTACAATCATTATAATAATCGCGTGAAACGCGACGATGAAGACCATCATAAAAAAGACGGCAGTGTCAAATGTAAAGGTGATGAAAGCCATAGTACTGAAATAGTAGATTTGAACCTCTTGAATTTTTAATCTTGAAAAACCTTTCATTTTAATATGCCTAACACCAATATTACAAAGGCGAGCGCTGAGTTTCAGCTATTATTGCTTATTAGGTTCTTGCCGCGGTCTCAGTGGCGTGAGTCATATCAAGCATCCCATAGTCTAAGTTACCGTATAACCCATCCGTGTACCAAACTTTATTTTAATCCGTAGAATAGTTTTTGCGTGAAAGAGTAACAAACGTCTATCCATAATTACATCCTCACGAACATTCGCATTTATAACCTCACTGATTTCGGTATGCCAAATAAATAATTCAATCTTAATTAGTTGTTTTTTATTGAAAATCCCTATTCTGATTTTTTCAATACATTATAATGGAGTGGTCGTTTAGTCTGCGCTATTGGTATAAGCTGGCCTCCGCCAGCTTATATGATAGTATAAAGTCGGGCCAGTTGGCTCATCGTGACGAATTCACCAGGAATTAAGCATAATGGTTTCCAGGGGGAGCCGCATGTAGTGCGACCCGTCCGTTTGGTCATTGTGTCATATGTATTGATGCTTGATATTTGATCTGTTTGTATGAAAGCATACATTGACCGGGATAAAAGTAGCCTAACGTCCTTCTGGGTGATTCTGGTAATCTCTTTGGTTTCTAGTCCCAAGAATAGTGAATGTACCCAGGAAGCGTTTTACAAAATGCTCCCTTCTATTGTATCGTTCGGAGACATCGACTTTTCTGGGGACTCGATGTTGGAGTTGCACTTGCTGAAAATCACATCTCTCCAATTGAAGTACCACAAATGTATCTTTCACGACGATTGGTTGAGCGGTATGCTGGTAAGTCGTGAGGAGTATTTATTTTTACAATCAAATATGGAGTCCTATTATGGCTAGACACGTGACGGTGTCTTCTAATGAACACTGCGTTGTCGTTTTCTTTTCATTTTTCATTAAACACCTAAGTACATTGTTTTTAACTGAACCCAACTAATTGTGTTTGTGTTCTTACACAAACAAAAACCGAATGTCACATAGAATATTT